GCTTTCATCATTGATCTTAATGAAGCCTTCTTCCCATAGCTTGCCAGAAAAACACTCGAAGTCTTCCAGTTTCTAATACATTGGATTGGCTGTTGCTATACTCACAAAATCATCAGCATAAACCAGCTCAACATCATCTCCATGCCACTGAATCAAGCATTGATGCATAGTCGATGGTACACAATAATTTCATGAATCCAATCACGACCAGGGAGTAAACTGTATGAACCTTTTCCATCAATGACGAAGACTGTGGTGAGCAAAGTCTTACTTTCGATTGCCAATTCGACGTTTATTGCCCCCTGATCTTGGATGCATTACCCCTAAATCCTCAATCAAATCTCCTAATCCATTGCCAAGCTTGTGAAAAGTAGTATAAGACATAAGATTAACAGAAGCACCTTCATCCACCAACATTTTGCTTCATCAGCTTCCCATCAACAAAACCTTTTACATATAAAGCCTTTAAGTGACGATGCTTGACTGGCTTATCAAATATAGCTTGCAGTATAACTATCAACTTGGCAACTATCTTCTCATACTCTGATTCATTAAAATTTGAGTAGACTTCTTGGTCTGTTGGAGCTCTAAATTCTGACAGCAACAGAAAAACCATTTGAATATTAGCCGATGGTTGACCCTTATTGGCTATTTGTTTAGCACGCCACACTTGAGGTCTACCCGATGCCTGAGCCTGTTCTAGCTCTCTATTCCATAGGCGTTGCACCCATCTTTTCTAGTTTCTTGTCAAACCTTCTGAACATCATTGTCCTTCCTGCCAAACATACTCTTCCTCATCACCCTCTTCTTTATAATCAGTCCAATTTTGATCAACAACTCGCTACCCGAGCCGATCATGAACACTTCTATTTTTAAGCGCCGATCCATATTATTATGATGATACTCATCTCGAGCATGGATAGACCGACGGTTGGCTTGAGATTGTCTAAGCTCCCAATATTGCTCACTGCAGTCTAGGCAATTATTTCTACTAGGCAATTTCAAATCTTTATTCCAACAATGTCTGAAGAAAGGACAATTCTAATGTGAGTCAGCTTGCTTTCTTTCATACCTATCTTTCTCCTGTTTACGCTGGTATTCTTTCTTTTCTAACCAACGCTGATAATCCTTTTCCCTCTGTCGTTGTCATTTATTCAACAAAATTTGAGATGTGACACGTGGCCTTATCGCCCCGTTTCTTGACGTCTCTCCCTGCTCATATTGGCTCTTCTGTTGGTCACGACGCCTTTTAATATCTCTATATTCATCAGTCGATATTTGCATCTTCGGGTCGATGGTTCTGGTTTCTTTTGCCCTGGTTGATGTTAGGACTTTAGTCTTTTCTTTGAGCAACTTCACATCGACCATATTCTGATCCCTTGGAAAATGATTATCATCAACTTTTATCTTCCGAGGTGTATCAAATTTAAGCTTCCCTTGCTGAATAGCCCTCTGTATATGTTGTCGGAAAATTCTGCACTCGTTATTAGAATAAGAAGTAGCGTTATGAAATTTATAGAACTTTTTATTCTTCAACTGATCAGGAGGTAACATAACATGATTGGCGAGCAACTTGATCTGTCCCCTCTCAAGCAAGAAATCCAAGAGCTTGTCCAATTTGGTGACGTCGAAATCATAGCTCTCTTCAACTCCTTTTCTCCAAGGATTTCACACTGTCACTGTCTTCTTACCCTAATTCCATTCGGACACAACAATCTCTTCTTCTTCATCGTCCTCATCACCGTTATCAACTGAATATGGATTATAGGCTTCGGTAATCGTGGCACTCTTCTGAAATTGGTTATCTCTGCGTATATTCTGGAATTGGCTATTTAGTGCTGCCACTTGTTGAGCCAACTGACCTAAGTTGTTAAACTCTTGCCCAAGCAGCTTCTCCCTCCATGTTGGTAATATTCCTCGAACAGCTAAAGCAGCTAGCTGATCATCAGTTAGATTCAATGAGAAGCACAAATTTCTGGTCTCTCGGAACCTCTGAAGAAACTCGGTACCCGATTCATTAGTTCTCTGCCTTATGGTCGTCAAATCTGTGATTTTATTTTCTCCTGTCCTAGTATAAAAATATATATGAAACTTCTTCTCTAGGTCAGTCCAATTGGCAATGGAATTAACTGGCAACAATGAAAATCATGTGAAGGCATGTCCTGATAGGGACAAGGAGAAGAAACGAACTCGATGAGCCTCTTCAATGGATGCTTCGCCTAACAGTGTAAGATACCGACTGACATGTTTTATTGTACTTGTGCTATCTTGACTAGTGAACTTAGCAAATTTCGAAAGCCTATAATTTATAGGAAGAACGATCAAATTATATCACTCTGGATATGGACGTTTGTACGAAAAGATCTGTCCTTTTAGTTTCAAACCGAACTGATCCTTCATCATCTCCGTCAATCTGAGCAACAACTCATCAGCACTTGAATCTGGATTTCTCTGCAATTATTGACCCATCTGTGGATTAAAATTTCAGGTACCATGATACACTGGATTCGAAATCATATGAAGGGTATTATAATATGCTCTATAATGATATCCCTGTGGAATCTCTATTTGTTGGGTCCTTTGCTGATTTGCTACTTGAAATCTCTGATTATAAATGTTGGGATTTGTATCTCTACGAATCATTTGAACTGATGGCGCTATTTTTTGAGCCGACGACAGTATTTGGCCTGATGTGCTAAAATTAACCATTTGATTCTGAACGTACCCCGTCGGCTGTTGCACATACTGCACTGATAATCCAGGATTATTTTGTATTTGATTAGTAGTGATACCTTGAACTTGTTCAGATGAGCCTTGAACTGTCTAGACATCATCGTTACTAGTTAGTGCTGCTTCTTGATGGCTAGTACCGGCTTGATTAGTCCCCTGAGTCGACGGATGTGGAATGTTGTAATAAGCCGGCCCAACCTGATCAATTGGACATCCATGAAACACCTCTTTCATGGTATTGTGTAAGGTATTCAAGAAAGTTGTATTATGGTTCAACATGGCATCATGAGCAGACTTGTTTATAGCATCTATAAAAAAACATATATCATCAGCTTCGTCTGTATCTGACTGCCATGCATTAAAACTCTTGGTAGTGGATATTTCTGAACAACTTTATTGTCACGTGTCTTGGTGTATGACAACAAACATTTGTTCTAAAATTCTTCTATAACTTTACTGATGACATCGTTATCCTCATCAGGTAGATCTTCATAAGGCACCATAAGAATGCCCTTGTTGTTGTGAGTTGTCATGACGATTGTAGGGTCCCACCGGGCGTGTCAGAACGTGTCGGTGTAAAAACATGTCGATGCGTCTGACACACGGCAAGCCAGAAGGATCTGCCTGCAGTAAGCCCGGAGATCCGCTTGGCTTCAACGCAGGACCAGCCGATCCTGCGAATTCCCGAGAGCGTGCCAGTCAATTTGATCAACAATTGACAATGAGAGAAAGTTTATCAGTAATTTAGGGTGGAACGTGCTGGTTTTACCCAGACAGTTCCAAGTGTGCCGCTTCAGGAGTAGCCAGACAGAAAAATCGACTAAATAGTCGATACGAGAAGAAATCGGCTGTTAAAAATTGAAATGCTCGTGGGTCATGATTATTTTATAGTAACGAATACAATGCACCCAGTTTTAATGATCATTTTTCCTTAAGCTATTAACATGTATGTGTCAAAGATGGTCACTGGCTAAGTTAGATTTCATCAATACGTGGTGTAGAGCCAATGAATCCGGTGAAAAGGAAAAAGCCACGCAAACAATCGACTGTTTGATATAGGCAGATCTACGAACCATCTGAATCTAACCTATTACCATCAATAGTGAGATTCGACCGGATCGATGCAGCTATAATGATGATGATAGTCTAGAACCGAAAAATCCATAGAACCGACCATACTTCAACAGGTTCATGAAAGCGTGCCATATCTGTGAAAGTGCAGGCGAATCGGCTAAAATAGCCAATTCAGGTAGAAAATGGATTACAACATGTGAACAATCGACTATTTAACATGGACAGATCTATAAACTCATCAAATCTAACATGTTATCCTTAACAGTGGGGTTTGACCGGATCAATGGCAGTCATAATAAAAACAACAGATCAAATATTTAAAGTAAACAGATCTATTCATATTTAACAGAATCATGAAGACACACTATAAGCGTTAAAGTACGGGTAATCGGCTTTTTAGCCGATGCAGGCATAACAAACAGCCAATATCATGCCTGGTCGAAAACAAATCTACCGGCTAGCATACTCTAATTTAAAGTGCTAACAGTAGGGATCGACCGAATCGTTACAGCCATAATAGCAAGCTATAGACCAGATTCAACTAGCTAGTAAACATACTCAAAATCAGACATGCCTTGACCGCGTACTATGCACGATCAACGGTACTCCTACTCCTAAGGATTGGCGTAAAGCCAAAAAAAGTAATTAATATTGATTGTTGAAGAACTGATTGAGATCTACAATACTCCTACTCCTATGGGTTGGCGTAAAGCCAAAAAAAAGTAATTAATATTGATTGATTGGATCTCTTTTACAATTGTCGGGGTTTAATATTTATATTCGGAACCTAAGTATGAATCCTACTCAAATACGACTCATTACAATATCTAGAATAAAATAAAACATTCCTAACGTAAGATAACTTGGACCCTAATATTTTCTTTTGTAGAGTGCGACATATTTTCCACGACGCGCTTATTGACGTTATCTACTGACGTCATCCGAAGAGAGCCGATCCCAGTACCACGTCTAAATCAGCTGATATCGATCCTTATACAATCGATTCCTCGATGACACGATCTCAGAAGCTTCGAGTTCTCGCGTTCTTTTTCATAAATTTTGACGTAAACACATTGTTATATTTCAGCGACAAATCCAACCAGCTTAATTAACTCACGATACATCTAAAATTCGAAACAAATAACAAAGCTGCCTAAGATGGTTATCACATATCAAATCAAACAGCAGTAACTTACACTGTAGGTGACGTTGGGCTTCTCCGACGAGCCGAGCAGCGAAATGCTGGAGTCGACCTCGGGCGGCAGCACGTCGACGAGCGCGTGGGAGTGGCGGTGCAGCGCGACGGACGCCGAGGGCTTGAGCAGCTCGCGGCCGATGGTGCTGAGGACCCGCACGTAGAAGCTGCCGCCGGTGGTGGTCGGCGCCACGATGCCGTGGTCGGCGTCGACCATCTCCATGAACTGGCCGATCTCGAGCGGCGTCGCCCAGCACTGCTTCACCTCCTCCGCGCCTCAGGTTCCTGAGCTCGTCCTTGACGTACTCCTCCTGGATCTCGACGAACTCCAGTTGCCTCAAGTCCTTGTCGCAGCTAGACGCGCCTGCTGCCGGCGCCGCAGCTCTGTCAAACTGTAATCGTGGAGATTTCGCCAATTCGCCTAGTAACTGGATTTTTTTGCATCCTAAAGCTATGATATGCTATGAACCAAAATGTAAAACCTTCGATGTAATTTGAGAGTCTGTTAACTTTGTTGATTTCGAGAGGGCAAGAAAATCAGAGAGAGAGAGAGAGAGAGTTGGGATCCTTTTTTCTCACAACAAACCATTATCAGAACTTATCACTTCAGAAACCAATCAACGAACAGATCCTTTGAGAGCAAGTAACTTTTGCAAGAGGAGAGAGGCAAGAAAAAGAGAGAGAGAGAGAGTTGGGATCCTATGCAGGACAGCAGGAGCTGAGGACTGAGGTGCATGTGCATACCTCTACACGTGCTACAAATCAAACGGAGTAAATGCAAAGCAAAGAGAAAGGAGAAAGCTACAAAAAAAAATATCGTTAACCTAATTGCTGATCTTATAGCCAACTCGATATATCAAACTTGAGTGATTACTAATCATGCCTCTAGATAAATGGCATGAACATTATGCAACTATCAACTGACTGTATCATTAGCAATGCTGTAACATAAAGTACCAAGTGTAATTGCTTCCGGGAGAGAATTTTTTGGTTATTGTTTGAGGATGCTGCCAGTCAAACTGTTGTTGCAAGACACGTTCGTGTATGAAAATGAGTTCATTTTCAAACTTGTGCCCACACGTCGGTGGCCCATTATCCAAAAGTATACACACGCCGCTGCTCTACCCTTGTTAGTTAGTGACATGCATTTGAAAACAAAAACTCATCATCGCGTCACGGCCTAATTAACTCAACTATCGGCGACAATCCCACGACGCCGGCGACGGCATCGTCGACGCGGTCCTTGCCGTCGCGGTGCCTGACGACGTAGTGGTCGCCGACGACAGCCGCGGCGTGGCCACCTGCTTGATGGCCACGTTCGGAAGCGGGATGCGCCGCCGCCGCTCCTGTTCCTTAACCAGCTCCGCGGCCAGCGCGTCCACCTTCTCGGCGTTCGTCCGCTGCGACAACCTCCGCCCCCGGAACAGCACCGACTCCACGTTCCTCTGCGCAAGCATCGCTCCCGCTGCCGCGGATGCGGTGGCCGCGTGGAGCGGCGCCGGCGCCTTGCCGGCCTGGATGCGCACGTAGTTGCATCCACACGCGTACCCGAACGCCATGGCCACTGACTCGTCCACCATGTCCGCGACGCCCTCGGCGGTTACGCGCGCCAGCTCCCGCGGCGACGGAGAACGCGTGGGCATGGGCGTGCTCGACCCGTCGCACACGGACACGGTGGCCGAGGAGGCTCCGGCGCCGATGGAGAGAACGAGGAGGTCTTCGACGCCGGTGGCGAGGGGGAACTCCTGCTTGTTGTGGAGCACGTGCGTGATGGCGGCCGCGGCCGGGTTGCCCATGGCCGCCACTCCCCCGGACGCGGCGGCGATGGCCGTGGCACCGTCGACCGACCTCACGCTCGCGAGCGCGCCGCCCGCGGCGCAGGTGGCGGCGCACACGTCGCGGAGGCGGAAGTCGAAGCTGTCGCTCTCGACGGCGTCGGCGCGTGAGAACACGAAGGGCGCGGCCGTGGCGAGGTCGTAGCACGGCACGAGGAGCGGAGCCACGGTGTCCCTGAGCGTCGCGTCGCCGAACACGCGGCGGAACGACCGGTCGTCGCCAACCCGCGCGCCGCGGAACAGCTTCGCCCACCGAGGCCCGCGCCGGCCTCCCCAGCAGCCTTTCTTCCCGACGACGCTCCCGGCCACCAACGCGAGCGCCTCGTCGGCCGTGTACCGCGGGCGGCCGTCGGCGCCCCTCAGGAACAGCATCGCCGCGAGCACTCCCCCCGCGCCGGCGCCCGCCGCGAGGTCGAAGAAGTCGGCCACGCGCGCGTCGGGGTCGCCCGTGTGGTCGCGCAGCCCGGCCTCGAGCCTCGCGAGCGCGGCGGCGGCCAGGAGCGCGTCCTCGGCGCCCGCGCCGCCGCAGCCGTCGATCGCCAGCACCCGCACGCGCCCGCCGTCCAGAAGCGCCCGCGCCGGCGTCACGCCGGGGCCGAAGAGGAACTTGCTCTCGAGCAGGGAGAAGATCTCGTAGCTGAGCTTTTCCACGGCGCCCATGGCGGCTTTCGTGGGCGGCGACGCCATTGCCGCGTACGCTTCCATCTCAAGCAGGACAAGCAAGGGCTAGACTAGAGTGGGAACACGACGTAGCTTGGCTGGCAGATTAATTGGAGCTCGAGATAGCTCGTGATGTTTGAGAGTGAGACTGCGACTGCTGCTGCGATCGACGCGTCCCAGTCCATTCTACCTCGCGGCCTTTTATAATGGCGGGAGCTGGCAGGCTATCGCTGCCCTGCCCCCCGCACCGCACGACGTGGCCGCGGCGCGCACGCTCTGCTGTCCGTGAAGGGCTGCGCCGGGCAGGACAGCTAGCGTACGGTACGGTACGCGTCCTGGGCGTCAGGAGTCTGGATCGGCGGGTGGCACGGGGCCACGAGACCAGCTGAAGGTGGCAGGAAGCGCCGAACGCTGTGCTCCGCTGGATCGGATCGCGGTGGGCACCTGGGCATGGGTGTGACCTCGCTCGCTGCGCGCACGGACGGACGCACCCGACGACGAAGCTTCCGCTTCAGCTTCCGCAGTCCGCAGCACAAAGCCGCGGCGCGCACACGTGGCCCCGACGCCACGCTGTCGGCGCGGGCTCCGGCTGTCATGGAGACGGAGCACCCGGCGAGGCGCGTGCGGCGTGCCGGCACTCCCTGGCTCCTCCCTGGACTGGATGGCGAGAGAGACAGCGGCGGGCCTGGCCAGGCGTCAGAGCCTCCCTTCCGCTCTCTCATTTCTGGCGTGGCGTCCGTACACACACGCCGCGGTTAATGGAATAATGGGCGCCTGTCCTTGCTGTCGAGCGCACGTCGCGGCGGCCCCGCCGTGCGCTGTCGCTCGATCGCGCGGGCGAAGGAAGAAGGCCGTCGGCGCTGGATCTGGAGCTCACTGTTCACGTGGTTTCGACACGTGAGGAAACCAGTGCATGCAAGTGCAGCTGGGCTTGTAGCCTTGTACCTCATGTGCAGATATGCCCGTACTCTCGTGTGCATCTTCATTCAGTTCAGTTCGATCTTGCCTTGTTGGATTGGCGGCAAAGATAGACAGGAAGAAAAGAAAAAGATTAACACCTGGACTCCATCGGCGTACGAATGTATATATTACAAAGTTTCGTAGGGTTTTCTAGTCAGATATACAGTATATATAACATATATAATTTACAGCCGCCTACAAAAAGGACACTCTGACTTGGTATGAGAACGTCAATGTGTTGTGGCCAAACCTGGTAGCTAAGGTACTAGTTCCATATATATGTTGAATTCACCATGGATTTCTTCAATCAAATTATAAAGTCTCAGAGAGGAGAAACGATTTATTCACCGGCCCTGAATCAAGACGAGTTGGAATATTCATTCGTTGCATTATTTGTGGGTGGCTCTCTCTCTCTCTCTCTCTCTCTCTCTCTCTCTCTCTCTCTATCTATCTCTCTCCGCATGTCAGCCCCTCCTCTGCCGACACGTACTGCATTGCATTGGATGCCTGCTCTTCCTCTTCCCTTCCATGCGATTTCGCCTACAAGCAAAAGCAAAAGGAAACAGATGGCGCACACGTGCATACGCCTGCATTGTACATGAACATGCTTTTGTATACTGATGATCACAATTAAGCTAAGCGAGCTGTGTGCCAGCTAGCAGCCTGTCGTCGTGTCCATTCCACTAAAGTGCCGAGTAGGGGTAGCTAGCTTGGTAGCCGGTTCTCTCAAGTCTCAAGCCTCCAACTCTAATCCACTAAATGATTGAAGGAAATAAAAAAGGGGGACGTCGTAAAGGCGGTCAGCTTGTGCCGTGCCTAACTAACAAACTTTTCGTGCGTACGTATATCTATGCTGTTTATTAAGCTTGTAAAACTAGCTTATATGAAACTTCATATAGCGCCTAGGATCCGCGCACGGATAGAGCTTTGGCTACTGTTTGACTACTGTTGGCCAATCTTGTGCCGCCACGTGGATTGGTCAATCTTGTGCCGCCACGTGGATTCGTGCGTGTCCCCGCATGGATTTGGCCTCTCCGGATTGGTTCGTCTGTTTCCGTAATTAAAAAAAGAGCCTCGCTGCCTCCGTCAGCTCCGCGCTTTCTCTGGCGCCTTCTCTCCCCATGCTCCTGCTACAGCGCTTCCTCTCCCCTAGTGGCGGAACCCCTCAAGCGGTATCGCACCTCGCTGCCTCCGTCAGTCCGTCCGCACTTTCTGCGGCGCCTCCTCTCCCCCAAGCCCCAGCTGCGGCGCATCCTCCCCCAACGGCAACGGACGCGGATGCCGCATCCTTTGTGGATCACTTCAGCGCCTCTTCCTCTTCCCCGGCGGCGGCGGCCAGCCGTACGATTGTGCGTGGAACCAGGACGGCGAGGCAGCGACGGCAGCGTTGCGTTGGAGCTCCACGACGGGTTAGGTATGTTGTCTTCTCCCCCTCGCCTTCGATCCGTGCCGGCACCCCTTCCTCTCCCTCTCCGTCCCCATTCCCCTCCAAGATCTGTGAGGCGGTACGGTGAGAGCAACGGCCGGAGCTCCAGCTCGCCCTCGCCTTTGGCGCCTCCGCCGAACTCCCCTTCCATCTGTGCCCACGACGGCTCCCCTTCCGCTCCCTGTCCCTCCTAGATCTGCGAGCCGAGATAGCGAGAGCGACGCCTGGACACGGAGCCGCCACAGCAACGGCCAAACCCGGTAGCGAACTTGGAACAGTGAGCCGCACCAGCTGCCTTTCTCCTTCTCCTCCTCCTTGACCCCTTAGCGCGAGCGATGACAGCCTCCTTTGTACCGATTTGGCACCTGTTCCACCACAGGCAGAGCCGCTCCTAGCCGAATCGACGTCTCCCTCGCTTTGATCTTAGCGGTTCGCGAACTACACAGCTGGTGCCGCTCTCCGATACAGTGTCGTGCCGCCAACCGTGGGTAGCTTTACTTAGCCGCAAAGACTTCACCAGCTTCATTAACCTCTCAGCTACTCTGACCTCCTCTCTTTTCTTTTCTAATTTCATTCTTATTTCTCTGTTTTGATTTAAACCTAGGAGTAATAAGAGTTACCATATTTCTCTGTTTTGATTTGATTTTCCTCCAAAATCCACATTGATTTGGTTCGAATACTAGGGTTTTCATCTTCATGACTGCTGCTGCACTCCGTTGATCCGTGGCACCAGTTGATGGTTCCCTCACAGGTAAGTGCTACGCTTTATTTTGTTCTATTAGTTTAGTTTATGGCGGTTTACTAAAATTGGGGTTACATGATTCGAATTCAAGTTTCAAACAGCTTCATTCATGTGTACGTATTTTGTAGACAGACTATCATCGATGTATGTTTATCGCACTGCCATTCAATTATTTTTTCTCTTGCTCTAAATAAGTTATTTTGGTCAGATAACGTTGTGAGCAATGGGTGTACCTACTTAGTGCTGATACAAATTTGTCACTGCTCATGTAAGTATGTTCTCTTCGATGTCTCGCTGTTGATACCAATACGTACCCATGATTTGTATTGCTTGGTGATGATGGCATAATAAAATTTTATCTCTGTAGAGGAAAACCCACTTAAATATGTTCTTATCTGTCAAGTGCATCCTGCTCTTCCCTGATTCATGTACGTTGACAGTTATAGGAATTCAAGTAGTAAAGGGGAAGACTCCCACATGTGTATCATGCTGGCTCCATTCTTTTATTCTTTACCTATTCAGCTTGGTATCCAATTTAGTTGTTGGCTTCAGTGAAATTAGTATTCTTGACCCTAGAAAGATCAACTGATTAATATCATAAACTATAATTTGAAGAAGTATGACCACTTTGTATTACCATAGGGATAGTGGTATCTAATCAGATGCGATTCATATATGCAAATAATTGTCTGAAACCTTTGTAATTGTAGGACTCCGAATATATATTCCGCCCACAAATTGTGTGTCTTCTATATTAATCGCAGCTATTATCGTCCCTTTTTGTAAAATTAGTCCCTTACATTTTTCTCGTAGTTTCCTTATTACTTTGTTCGGTACATCTTTGATTTTTCAGCCTATCACATTAGTTTGGGAGCTGCTGCTGCTGCTAATTTGTTCTTTAATATATAGATGAAAAATATGTTCTGCTATATCAATACAGAAGCCTAATAAGGCATTATGGAATGTTAAGGATTGCTGATGTTCTAATGAATGTAGTATTGCTTATTTGCACCTGCTTTCGGCTTGAGCTGTTCTATTTACTTATCACGCTACAATGCTACATAATGTTCATGCCTCCTTTTTTGTCCGTACAATTTGAGGCTACAAGCTGTTAATTTTGCCTTCATTCGCTTAATAGATTCCATGTTAATGTTGACAAGGAAACTTTGTTCAAGAAAATCTTAAAAGAAAACGATGCAGCCTTACTGAAAATTTCCTGCAGCAAAATTCTGCAGTTAATTTATTTAGCCTCTAGCGATATTATATTACTTAGACCTTAATTGATTTTGTTGCGAATGATCCTTTTCCATTATAGAATGTTCTGGGTCAGCTTATCTGCATACATGCACAGTTGCTTACAAAATACTGAAAACAGAATTAACATGATCCATGCACCTTTACAGGTCCAAATGCCAAAGTATATATATGCCAAGGCATGCATATAGTGTGTTAAAAAGTTTTTTTTACTTTTGCAATATATGGTACTAAATGATAACCTGGTTTGAAATTAATTTTTTTTGTACTCTGTACAGCCCAGATCTTTGAGAACAGCCTTAAATATGAACACAATGTCAGATTCCTCAATGTTGCCTCCAGTTCAGAGTCAAGCTTCAGTTTCTTTTCAATGCAATGATCACCAGCTCAGGGCTACCTAAGCCTCTGGTATGCCACTGAACCCATGCCCCCTGTTGCTACCGTGTTATTCCCAAATTTGTCATCTGTAGAGCTAAGATAACAGGCATACACTAAGCATATTGCACAACGAAGAAGATGATTATACTTTACTATATATGTCTCATTTCCACCGGACTGTTCAAGTAGCTCAGCCATAAAGAGAATTGCCCTCCACTATCACCTTCTACTTTGCATGACAACTTTACATTTGAAACTTAAAAAAGTTATGCTATAATTACCCACTTTGCTTTATACTAAGACATTGTCATCTGTTTTTATTTTTTGTGACTTTACGTACGTGTTCTTCATGCAACCTATCTCTAAACAAACCAGACCATCCTACTTTCCAATATATTGATTCTCATTTTTCTTGCTATAATTGTTTCTTTAGGGATCCATACTGATCACTACTACTTGCACCGTATGTGCTCATTTTATAGCCTCTATTGTTTCTCATAGCTTCCTATAGGCATTACATACTCTTGAATTAAACTGATTGTGGCTATCAAATATTCTCATAGCCCCCTTCTACTGGCATTACATATTCTTGAATTAAACTGATAGTGGCTACATTCAAAATGTCATCCTTTTTAATCACGGATTCACATTTGCATGCCAATCCTTGCAGGGATTACATGGCCATGGTGAATCTCACCTGGAAAAAGCCCATTTATACAGTTTCTCCCAAACATAACTAGGCATAACAAAACTCTACTTAATTTTTTTCTTGAATATTTCTGCTCATTTGCCATCAAACAAATTACCATGGCCACTCCTGATCAGCTTTAGCTAGGTCGGCTTTAATGATGCTACTGTCCACTCCTGATCAGCTTTACCATTGACTTGGACCACCCGTTTGTCGCATCCAGTTGATGCAGAACACTTACTGTATATGTACATTAATGGAGTATTCATACAGATATAACATGCAGATAGCGCCTAGCGATTCTATGGAGTATTCAGAACACTTACTGTATATGTACATTAATGGAGTATTCATACAGATATAGCTTCCAGGAGTCCTATCAAGGCCAATGATGCTGACGTCCACTTCCAATCAGCTTTACCAAAGACTTAGACCATCTGCTTCTTAGCATCCAGTTGGTTTAGACTACTTACTGTATATTCATTGATGGAGCATTCTGTCCCTCAGTGTGCTACCTGGCTAAACTTGCCACTAATTGTATATGTTATGTCATGCATCCGAATTTCTCAGTTAGTATGCCTGCTGCTCCTTATACGCGAAATGGATTAACATAACTATGTTTTGTTCCTTGCACCATGTGCCTGGCAATTTCTGTTTGTTAGGAGTACCTCCATCTTAATGTTTTAGAAGACAATAAAAAAACTACGGCATGCCCACACGTCACTGTAGCCCTACACAAGATGCTCAAGCAAATAGAAGCATACAGGCGCAGCGAAGCGCGCCTACCTATCTAGTCATGTCCATGACAGGACGCTTCGTCTTGTCGGAACTGTTTACACGTTTGCGTACATATGTTTCGTGAGATAATGACATGTACGTGCGGAATAATACTATACTTTATACACATACATATATCGTGCAAGTTGAATGGTCAACCACTACCGCATCAAGTCTCTCGTTAATTACGCGTGTTACATGTGTTATGCTAGTTTGTGTTTGCGATGTGGATTCGTATGTTTTGGAATTCTCGACATCACAAAAGGGCGTACCCATACAGAGAGCTCCCGCTCTGTGCGGTGTCTGGGAAAGCAGTGGCAAGCCTTACCCTCGCCTGTGCAATGCGAGGAGACCGCGACTCAAACCCGAGATCTTTCGGTCACAGGCGGTAAGACTCTACCGCTTGCATCAGGCCTGTCCTTCAATCTATCTCACACCTCAGCTTAAACTTCCTCCAAACAGTCCCCATGTAATGAGCGGCCATCACCGTGCGACAGGATCTTGAAGGGATTAACAGGATGTAATCATCTCAAATGATGACTCCACAAAAAATGCGCATATGAAGCATAATCACCAATCAGGCAGTCAGCTACTGCTGAAATAGAGTGCACATATGTATAAGGCATCGGGCATCGGCCAACTGTTCGCATCAGCCGGACAGAAATGGCTGGCATAATTGACGTGCCCCGTACGAATTTGTCTACGAGAGGGAGAACAAGCTTGAGAAGGTCGGAAGAGAATCGTTAGTACAAAATTAGTTGCTAACCCATGTAACCTCCTGTTGTTGGGCATGTCAGACTAGTAGCCGGCAGCAAGCATATAGTCGCGTACCAGTATGATTCCGACATGATATGATCATGACCCCGGGATCATCGATGCAAATGGCATGCGACCTTTGATACTTGCAGGGCAAGCAGTGATAACAGGCCTCTACTAATTGACACGCCATGCCCACAAAAGCATCTCGCATCATCTCAACGAACTTGCCACTAGACGTCGACATTCCTAACCCCCGACATACCAAATATCAACAGGCCGGCTCATAAGATATATAATAAGACTACAAAACACAACTGCGACGAACAGATCTAGTCAATCGGCATATGTATAACGCTCAAGGTTCGACTAATAACATACAGACAGTCGAAGGAACGGCCAACCCGTCCAGCATATAAAGTATGACCACGGAAGCAAAACCACCTACAGCCAACTCACTCGGTTAAGATTCTTGGCCAACACTGGCCAGCAGGGTTCCGATCTAGGAGCACCAACAGTCGATGGAGTTAAGATTTCCTTTTGCGTTGTGGAGCTTCAAGATGTCTTTGCCGGCTCATCGCTTATGGGCAGATCATCTTCGTCATGGTAGATGTTCTCAGCCATCTGCCATATCTGGAGGATGTTGTCTTCAGCGACGCTAGCAATCACCCAGTCCTCGCAGGGGTTCCAGGAGAAATCAGAGATCTTGCTGGTATGGCCTCCGTGGATGAACATGAGCTCTGGAGGACCATCTTCTGCATCCTCTGGTGTTTGTTCTTGGTCGATCCTGTGATATAGCAAAGCAAAGAACAATAGTTAATCCGAACCGTATCGTGTTAATTGCACTTCAACAATAAGTAATGTAGGGAGCACTAGGACAACCAGTGGCGGACCCAGGGTCCGGCGACCCTGAGCGCCTGCCCGGGCTGTGATGCTGGTACATCCTTGAGTTTCTGTTGCAGCACGCTTTGCTAGGAGCTCTAAAACACAATTTGATTGACTCAATGAAATTTGCCCGGGCTATGATCAAGCGCTGGGTCCGCTACTGAGGACAACACAGAAAAAATCGCAAAAAACACATCGCTTTGGCCATCATAAGAACTACTCCCTCCGTTCCAAATTATAAGACGTTTTGGCTTTTCTAGATTCATAACTTTTGCTATGCACCAAGATATATATTATGTCTAGATACATAGTAAAAGCTATAAATCTAGAAATACCAAAACGTCTTATAATTTGGGACAGAGGAAGTAGTAACTATTACAAGAAGGCCAATAGGCTTGGATTATGCTGTGATTACAAGAGAGTTACATATATATAGAGAGAGGCTAAGCTAGAGAGTTTAAGAGGGGGGAAGTCCCAGGCAACATGGCGGGAGTCCCTAGGCAACACACTGGGTAGAAACCCAAGAGGCAGCCGATACAGAGTAAATGATAGGAAATAAATACTCTAACACTTCGCAATGGAACATCGTTAGAACGAACGTTCAGACTGGAGCGAAAATCCATAAAAACAGAAGAAGGAAGGCCATTGGTAAAGACATCGGCGAACTGCGACGTGGTGGGAACGTGAAGCACACGGACAGCCCCAAGAGCGACCCGTTCCCGGACGAAGTGAAGATCGATTTCCACATGCTTGGTACGCTGATGCTGAACGGGGTTGGTGGAGAGGTAAACGGCGCTGACGTTGTCGCAGTAGACGAGGCAGGCAAAATCCAGAGGGTGATGCAGCTCCTGCAGAAGTTGCCGCAGCCAGGAGGCTTCGGCGACGCCGTTGGCAACTGCACGGTATTCGGCCTCGGCGCTTGAACGTGAAACAGTGGGCTGGCGCTTGGACGACCAGGAGATGAGGCTACCACCGAGGAAGACAGCATAGCCGGAGGTGGAACGGCGGGTGTCAGGGCAGCCAGCCTAGTCAGCGTCGGTGTAGACAATGAGCTGAGTCGGGGCAGAGCGGGGAATGACAAGACCAAAGCCGATAGTGCCCTGAAGGTAGCGAAGAATCCGCTTGGCAGCAACAAGATGAACTTCCCGGGGATCATGCATGTGCAGGTAGACTTGTTGAACGGCGTACGCAATGTCGGGTCGGGTGAAAGTTAGGTACTAGAGAGCACCCACAAGACTGCGATATGCTGTAGGATCATCAACAGAGGGGTCGGCATCAGCAGAGACTTTGGCACGAGTGTCAACAGGAGTGGAACAAGGCTTGCAGTCGGTCATGCCATGGCGAGCAAGAATGTCCAGAGTGTACTGACGCTGTGAAAGAAATAGAGTGTCCTTCTGTCGTTGAACTGCCACGCCAAGAAAGTGGTGAAGGGAACCAAGATCTTTCATGGCAAATTCCTTTTTCAGTGCATCAATCACCCGGTATAAGAGTGGCTGAGAGGAGGCTGTAACAACAATATCATCCACATATAGGAGCAAGTAGACTGTCTCGGTGCCGCGGTGATAGATGAAAAGGGAGGTGTCGGACTTGGCTTCAGTGAAACCCAGAGATAGCAGATAAGAGGCAAACCGGCTGTACCATGCTCACGGTGCCTGCTTCAAACCGTAGAGGGACTTGTTGAGCCTGCAGACGTGTGCGGGAAGAGCTGGATCGACAAAACCAGTGGGCTGAGAGCAGTACACCGTTTCTGACAATGTCCCGTGAAGAAAAGCGTTCTTCACATCAAGTTGATGGATCGGCCAGTCCCGAGAGTGAGCTAGAGTGAGGACGGTGCGAACGGTAGCGGGCTTGACGACGGGACTGAAAGTCTCATCGTAATCAACTCCGGGGCGCTGTGTGAACCCACGGAGCACCCAACGAGCCTTGTATCTGTCCAAGGAGTCATCAGCATGAAATTTGTGTTTGAAGATCCATTTTCCGGTGACCACATTTGCCTTGGCAGGCCGAGGAACGAGATCCCAAGTGTGGTTGTCTAGGAGGGCAGCGAATTCTTCTTCCATGGCCCGACGCCAGTGCGGATTAGCAAGAGCGTCACGACAGGACCGCGACAGTGGGGACAGAGCCTCGGTGTGTAGAGCAAGGCGAGGCTACTTGTATCCGGACTTCCCGCGGGTCGCCATGCCATGAGAGTTGGCGAGTGGCGGGATGGAGACCGCTCCTGTTGGCAGTGGAGGACCACTCTTGACGTAGCGTGGTGGAGAGGGAATCATGCCGGAGCGTCGAGGAGGAGCCCCAGCGGGGGACGTAGGTGGCGAGCTGGGTGCGGGGGCACGCCGGGTGTAGACGTGGATGACGGGCGGCTTGCTGAAGGAGTTAGCCGGGGGCGCCAGCACAGGGGGCGCCGTGGGCGCCTGTTCAGCGGGCGCCGGTGGAGGGGGCGCCATGGGCGCGGTGAAACCGGGTGGAGACCGGGACGCTGGTGTGCCTAGTCCCGACGCCGGGGTGTCTGAAGGCACCGGCTGGGAGGGAGCCTGCAGAGGTGTAGGTGCTGGCAGGGTGGCAGCAACGCCAGGAGGACCTGCAGGGAGAGAAGGGACTGACGGAGGGTCGTCATCAGTTAGAAAATCCAGTTCGTGTGTAGGCGGTGAGGGCCGGCGAAGTGAGAAAGGGAACGTTGTTTCGTCGAAAACAACGTGGCGAGAGATGATGACACGGTTTGTGGTGAGGTCGAGGCACCTGTAACCCTTGTGATCGGGAGAGTAGCCAATGAAAACGCATAAAGAAGAGCGCGGGTCAAGTTTCTGAGGAGCGGTAGCGGTGAGATTAGGGTAGCAGGTGCACCCGAAAGTCCGAAGGTCATGATAAGAAGGGTGAGTGCCATAGAGTGCGAAGAAGGGAGTGCTCATGTGCAGCGTTTTGGTGGGGAGGCGATTGATGAGGTGGGTGGCAGTAGCAAGTGCATCGGCCCAGTAGGAGGGGGGCATGGATGCTTGGAAGAGCAAGGTGCGGGTGACATTGTTGGTGGTGCGAAGCATGCGTTCGGCTTTGCCATTTTGCTGCGAGGTGTAGGGGCATGACATGCGAAGAGAAACACCTTTGGCAAGAAAGAAAGCATGAGACGTAGAGTTGTCAAATTCACGACCGTTGTCACATTGCACGGATTTGATGGTACAACCAAACTGAGTGTGCACAGAGGCGAAGAAATTGGAGAGGACAGTGAAAGTGTGGGACTTTAACCGAAGAGGAAAAGTCCAAAGGAAATGAGAGCAATCATCGAGAATAACGAGATAATATTTAAATTCGGATATACTGACAATAGGGGATGTCCATAAGTCACAATGTATCAGATCGAAATTTTAAGGTGCTCTAGACAAGGAACTAGTAAAAGGTAAGCGAACATGGCGCCCAAGCTGACAGGCATGGCAGATGGAGTCATCTGTAGACTTGCTGCAGAAAATGGAAGATGACTGGGCGAGACTCTGAAGGGCAAGCCCTACCGGGGTGGCCGAGACGACGATGCCAGGTAGTCGGAGAAGGAGTGGCCACAAGAGCACAAGGGTCAGAAGGCGACGATGGGAGCTGCAAGGTGTAGAGCGGCCCTGAGCTGTTACATCGAAGAAGGGTGTTCCTGGTATGGAGATCCTTCACAGAGACACCAAGAGGGTCAAACTCCACAGAAACAAAGTTATCAGTAGTGAACTGGCGAACAGAAAGAAGATTTTTAACGATGTCAGGAGCTATAAGGACATTGTTGAGACGGACAGGGCCAGGAAGAGTGGAGTATCCGGTGCCAACAACCGGGAGAGTGGCGCCATTTCCCACAACAATGGAGGAAGGAAAAGAGGAGGATGGAGATACAGTAACCATACCAGGGTTGGAGGCAATGTGGGACGAAGCACCCGAGTCGATCACCCAGTCCGAGGAGGTCAGTGGCGGGGTGAGGGTGACAGTACTGAAGGCGTTGGTGAGACTGGGGATCCCACGGTGACCAAGCAGGAGAAGTCGGAGGTGGTGCTGGCGTCCAGGCAGGATGAGACACCTGGGTGGGCACCTGGTGGTATGTCCCAGGAGCCGAAGAGTAGTAGGTTGGAGGCACGCCAGCCACCAAAGCGTGCTGCTGCAGCTGCTGCGATGGAGGCGGGCCGGTGCGGAGAGGTGGACCGCGAGGGCCACCGTGAGTAGAGCCGGGCCACATGTGGATGGACCCGGTCCATGGGTTGAGGAGGGAGGGCCACTCGGAACCACCTGTGGAGCCACTGTTCGAGCTGCCTTGGCCACGGCCGCCACGACGACGCCGGCCACGGCCACTACCAGACGAGCCCCCCGGCGTTCTGGTGAGGATGCGGGGTTGCAGGCCCAGAGGCCGGCTGGGATGCAGGTGGCTTGCTGGACGAAGAGACGACGAGAGCCGATGGAGGGGCCATGTTGAGCTCGGCCAGGCGCAGGTCGGCACGGACGTCCGCAAAGGAGGGAAACGGCTTCTGGCGTGTGATGAACTGCGACATGAACTGGAAGCGCTCATTGAGGCCTCGCAGTATGTTCAGCACCAGAGTACGATCATGGACGGGCTCGCCAAGATCAGCAAGGGCATCAGCCATGCCCTTCATCTTGCGGCAGTAGTCGCCGATGGAGAGGCGCACAGGAGAGGGCGCGAACTTCGGCGTCGAGGAGCATGGCGCGTGACTCGCGATTGTTCAGGAACTGTTGTTCAATGCCGAGCCACGCTGCCCGAGCGGAGATGACGTCACGCTCGTGGATGACGTCCAGAAGGTCGGTGGAGATGGTGTTGAAGATCCAGGAGACGACCAAGCAGTCCATGAGGGACCACGCTGGATCGGTGAAGCGGGAGGCGTCACTGAGGACGTGGCCCTTCAACGCGAAGCGGCCGAGGATGAGGAGGACGTAGCCGCGCCACCTGGAGTAGTTGGAGGACTGGAGGTCCAGAACGATCGGAATCAAGTTCTTGATGTTCTGGACAGCGGCAGCCTAGCTGTGCAGATGAGCGATGGTCGCGGCGTTGGAGGAGAAGGAGTGATCGCCGCCATCCTGAGAGTCGTCGTCATGGAGGAGTCCGTCGCGGAGAGCGATCCCGGAGGGGCGCTGCCTCTTGTTCGAGGCGTCGGCTCGTAGCGCTCCTTCTCGAGGGCGCCGGCAAGGCATTTAACGCGATCTCGGCGGCAAAGATGGACTTGAGGAGGTCGACCTCCGTCTGAAGCTGCTGGCTGCGGTCGGTGTTGGTGGAGTGCAGGGAGGCGGCCTCCTCCTCCAACTTCTGGGCGGCGGCTAGAGCTTCATCACGAAGCTTGATCACGGTAGCCGCGGTGGAGGCGCCGGAGGTTGAAGTGGCCATGGGCGCGCTGGGTGGGGCGACTCAGCACACTTAAACAACGAGGAAGGGCGTGGTCGCGGGCGGCTCCAAAGTGGCGGCGCGACGAGGTGTGTGAAGGTGAAGTGAAGGCAAGGCAGTGCACGGCTCGAGGCGGGTGCGGAAGCATAGAGATCGTAGGTTTAGTCTGATACCATATTAGAAGAAGGCCAATAGGCTTGGATTACTTGATGCTGAGATTACAAGAGGGTTACATATATATAGAGAGAGGCTAAGCTAGAGAGTTTAAGAGGGGGGAAGTCCCAGTCAACATGCCGGGAGTCCCTAGGCAGCACACTGGGTAGAAACCCAAGAGGCAGCCGATACAGAGTAAATGATAGGAAATAAATACTCTAACAGTAACGTCCAGAAGATACAGCGCACCAGTGGAAAACAAAACTAAGGGTAACAACATATGAGAGTATCGTGAATGTTTGTATTGCTTGCCTGCTTAGGTCCCAGATCATAAGTCTTCTGCCCAGACAACAGGATGCAAGTATAGTTTCATTCTTTGGACTCCATCCAACTTGAAAAACTTCCTCTCTGATTACACATGGTGTTGAAACATTAATGTTAAACTAGAAATATAACATCCATAGAAACACTCAATACTTCAGAAAGTTGTTTAGGCAGCAAAAACAAACAGTAGCTATGAACAGAACAAAAACAGCGGAAACATACTTGTGACAGTCAAAGGTGTGCAGAGAAGTATCAATCTTCCTAAGATCAAATAATTTGACAGTCTTGTCAGTAGAACCAGTTGCAACAACCCATTCGTTGAACGGGTTGAAAGCCAGGCAGTTCACCTGTAAATAAAGAAGCAAGTGTCAATAAACAAGAATCTTGTCATTGATCTTTCAGGAATCACGAACTTAGAGCAAGGTTCAATAAAGTCCCACCGCCACTGGCTTTCAGATGCACTGATGGGTTCTGATCTTACTACCCTAAAATTTAGAACATCTTCAACACCAAATTGTTTTCATTTACCTCTAGTTTGTACACCCAAAGAAATCAGGACCAAGGTTTCCTATACCCTGACTTACACAGCTATAGTAGAAGCATATAGTTCCCAAAAAATGCTGCTTATATAAAGACAAGTATAAACCTAAACTTTTTTACTTTTCAATACAACACCAATATGACATCAGATCTGGAGAACCAAAGTAAAGATGTTGAAGCATGTGTTCTATTTGACCCCAAAAAAAAAAAAAAAAAGAAAAAGAAAAAGAAAAGAAGGGGTGTAACAAAATGATAGAATGTATGATCAATCGAACGTTCCTTCAAGATCAATAATGATGGAGTAAATCGATCTGGAAAAACTAGTTCGCATTGCATACAGTACTTCTTCATTTAAGGACAACCAGATCCTCACTTCATGCAACAAAAGAAATCTTAAAAATTTGTAACCATGGAATAAAATGTATTTTTGAGTAGCAAATAATATCAATATTTCTAATGGCAATTAAAAGCTCACAACAGTTACTTTACCTCGCCCTGGTGTGCCACCACTGACTGAACAGGCTTAGTAGGCGCAGGAGACCGCAGGTCCCAAATCAAAAGATGATGATCATCACCAACTGACCCAAATAAGTACTCATGCCTCAAGTGCCAAGCAACATCTTCAACGACACCATCATGATGCTTACCAAGAATAAAATCGAAGTATTAGTATTATTAAATAGCATTAGTATTTCTATGAAGCTTGCATCACTGTGGATAAGAAACAACAGATGAGAGATTGAAATCCCTAGATTGCAAAATAGAGTTTCCAGGTTTCAGTGACAGATACAGATAGTTTTTCTACTCATGCTCGTCAGAGAAAGAACATTTAGTTTTCCAATCTGCTATTTAGCAAGAACACGTTCTGTCATAGTTTTCTTAATTACAAAAAATTAAATCAGCATACAAGAGAAACTGTATTAGTTCCACTAATTTGTCTTATTAATCCAAGTATGACTATCATGCACCTTCAAAGAGATGATTCAGAGTTCTAAAATAACCATTAGACTGTTAGAGAATGAAGAATGATTTAAACAATGTTCTACATGAAGCTCCAAACATTAACACACAAAATAGAACCAGGCACATGAGCCATACCTTAAAAATCTGCAGGGCATCAAGACTTTTGTTTTTACTATTTGCTTTAATGTCCCACAAGCAAATTTGAGCATCATCAGACCCACTTAACAAATGACCCTCTTTAAAAATACTCCATGATAAGCCATATCCTTCAGAATTATGTCCCTTCAGCCGTAAATCAGGGTTGCATGCACCATCTAGTGGAGGCTTAGATGGGTGCTTGCTATAGTCGAAGACATATACTTCTGCACTAACTGTCTTGGTAGCAATTATAAATGAATTTTGGGGCATATAGCGAGCTCGATTGACCTCTCCATCATGATTTATCTGCTGAACAATTTGCACCTACAAAAAGGGATGGAACATGTGTTCTAAAAATTGTCTCCAAACAGAAAAGAGAAACTTGTAAACATTAAAGACCTCAGCAAGGTAGTAACAAAAATGAGGAAGCAAATGCTCAAATGTATATGTTTGCACTAAGAATTACAGGGGTAAATGAAAGAATAGAACATTTTCATATCCAAGAGGTTCATTAGATTGAACTGGCAACAAAATCAAGAGAACTGATTGATATGGCAACAAAATCAAGAGGTCCATGAAATATAAGAAAAGTAAACATGAGTATACAACAGGATGATGAAACAGTCAAATACATAAACTGATTGTTCCTTAACGTAGCAAGAGTTTTAAAAACCCTTGCAGTACCACCTATGGAAAATCATGCACCAAGAACCACGTAAAAATGGCAACTTAGCAAACAAGCAATTAAAGACCCAATCAAATGTTCCAGGCTTTCTCAAAATGGCACACGGCCAATGGAAATTAGTCATTAAATATTACACAACATGGCATTCCTTTGTGCAAAGACAGTCCAAACCAACGGGATGTGCATATCACCCAAGTGTAAAGGCATTCATGCAGGCTCCCAGCATGTAAGCCATCTGCAGCAACTAGTAATAGCATCACAATAAAAATCACCATAGATAGAACTGATAATCTCACTGCAACCGTGGCACTATACAATTAGAATAGCTCTGTGGTACGAATTCAACCAAATATTAAGACTCGGCTATAGAATTGGTATTGTGTAAGGATAAATAAAATATTCCTCTAGAGCTTATAGAAGCAAAAATAATAATATTAACAACCTATGATCATCCACTTCCAACTTCACATGAAATAAAAGTAACTAGTTTGGGATATTAGAGACAAAATTATTATATTATAAAAGCATATTGGGAGACAGGAAAAATGGAGCATAAGCAAATGGTATTAATCCTCCAGTATTATTAAATACTTTGAAGAAATATTCAAATCCTAGAGAAGATCTTAACAAGTCCAACAAGCCAGAGGGAGAACAAAGCATAAACCAAAGCCCGCAGAAATTCAGCCACAAACAAAAAAAAGAACATGGTCCACAGGCACAGGGATGAACCTTCTTCAATTTGGCACAATGCTCAGAAAAGGAATCTTTCTAGGGCATATGTACTTCTGCAATCACCAGAAAGTTAGGGAAGTCACCACGTGCATGTGTACCAAGGACAATCTTCGGGACAGATTGACCTTGTCCAGGGTACTTTGCTCGATCAGGGAGCCACTCCACAGTCAGAGAGGGCCACTCCAAAGTATGGGTAATGACAAGATCATCCAGGCATGGCTTATTTTCTATCCACATATTATAATCTTTCACGATCTGTGCATTCATCGCCTCCTCTTTGTCCTCCGTGATATTGACACCCTCCAACTTCGCCTCCAAACCTGACAGCAAATCCTCCATGCGCGATGGGATAAAAGGGTTTATCGGTCGGGGTCAGGTCGGGTGTGCTACAAGCTAAAGAAGTATGTTTAGAAGGTTTTATAGGTTCCTTCAATCATTGGGCTTACATATGGATATGGCTGCGATTGAGTTGGGTTATGTTTTATAGGCCCAAGGCCCAGATTGAACAGGCAGCCAAACAAACAGATGCCAGCTCAGCAGCGAATTGCACAATTACTCCTCGAGCGTTATACATAGCAAAATCCAAATATTGGCATAAAATGGCATTTATTTTGAGGGGGGAGATGAAGGTGGATAGGTCATCCAGAAAAAAAATGCAGCCTCCATATTGGAAGTTGCAATTATAGAAAAAAAATATATCAACCATACCCCAGCATGCACAACCCAACAATAAAATGCAAAAAAAAAAGGAGAGGATAAACTGAGCGAATCCGAAGCTCCAGACTTCATCTTGAACATGTAAGAAATAAAATCCTGGCTTCAAAAGAGGGAGCAAAAACCGAGCTTCTGTATTCACATAAAAACACAGATATCTGGAAGGCTAAAGGTTAAGGAGCTGCTTGGTTTCTGAGTCAGCTAGCCTCGCCTAGCCTAGCTGGGCAAGCAAAACATTGCGAGCCCAGGAGAGCCGATTTGGCTAGCCTGCCTGGGCAAGGAAAACCTTGCTAACGCAGAACCCAAGGTAAGCTGGCTAAGAATCCAAACGCCTTGCCCACTTCAACTTCTAGCTTAGCAAGGAGACACAGTGCTTGGCAAAGATTCCAAGCAGCCTCTAATTTGCACAGAAAAAACTTCCTAAAGCTGAGCTTTCCGCAAGAAAGGAAGATGGGGATAACTTGTCCCCGCTTCACCAGTTGTTCTCGAGAAAGAAGAGGAACAACATGATCCTTAGCTGGAGATGCCACCACTGAACTGCCAAGGGCTTGTTTAGATGCAAAAAATTTTGCAAAATGAGTACTGTAGCGTTTTCGTTGTTATTTGGTAAATAGTGTCCAATCATAGTCTAATTAGGCTTAAAAGATTCGTCTCGTGGATTTCGTCTAAACTGTGTAATTAATTTTATTTTTTATTTATATTTAATGCTTCATGCATGTGTCCAAAGATTCGATGTGACGGGGAATGTGAAAAATTTTGCAAAATTTTTTGCAAACTAAACTGGACCCAAATTAAGGTGCTAAATCAACTAAAGCCACATTCAGTACTTTTGTACAGCATAGTTCAGCACATTGGTAGTAACAAGGAAAAACAAATAATTAGCAACTAGTACGTATGATAAAATGCCATCGTTACACAAATCCACCATAGCACCAGTTTCACATGTAACAACAAAAGATTTTTTAACCATTAAACAGAAATGGACCACTCCACCTGTAAAACAAACACTAATCAACAACCCACATGTTTATTTACAAAGCAAGCTATAGAAAGTTCCTCGACACATGACTCTACCCTAAAAAACAACATGACCAAATAAATGAACCGAGATCATAATTAAGGCAACGTTCCAGCCCGGCAACTGCAACGACTTCTAGATCCCACCAAGCAGCATGGTCGCAAGAAATAAGTTACCTAATTGTGTGCTGTGGCAAGCATCCTTAGCTGTAGCCTAAGGGAGCAATTACGGAGAAAATCGACACAAATCCCTCCTGTTTTCTTATATAAATTTGCAGGTACCCGCCTCAGCATAGGAGCGAACACGTGGATGAAGAAGGAACTAAATTCCACCAAGGCACGGCACAGGACATCACTCAATAGTATCAGTTCACGCCAGAGAGATTGAGTAAAACGCAGGGGAGAGTTTATGGGAAGGGAGGGGGAAGAAAGTCCACCTTGCCGGAGGCAGCGCCGAACCCCCAGATGTCGGCATGGTCATCGTCGTAGTGGGGCGCGTCGGCCTCGGCGTCATCGAGGGGCAACTGGACTTGCGCAAGCATGAGGTAGTTGGGCTCGTTGTCGATGGTGTGCGTGCCGAGGATCATCTTCTGGACGGAGTGGTCCTTCCCCGGCGGCTCGATGCGGTCGGGGAGCCACAGCACGGTGAGGGAGGGCCATTCAAGCGCGTGGGTGATGACGAGGTCGTAGAGGAAGGGCGTGTTCTTCTTCCAGATCTTGTACTCCTCGTTGATGAGGCACTCCTCCACCTTGACGGGGAACTCCTCATCCGCCGCCCCGCCGCCGGCCTTCGGCGTCGTTGGTCCGCCGGGCGCGGGCTAGGGTTAGGGTTTGGGAGCGGTGGGAGTTTGGGTTGGTGAGCGGGGGCGAAATGGCAGGAGGAGGCGCAGGGGTGGGCAAGTGAGAGAGAAATTGAGCGAAGGGGACAATGGTGGGGAAGGCCGACTGCAATAAAGACGTGGAAGGGGGCCGATGCGATGGGATAAAAGGGTTTATCGGTCGGGGTCAGGTCGGGTGTGCTACAAGCTAAAGAAGTATGTTTAGAAGGCTTAATAGGTTCCTTCAATCATTGGGCTTACATACGGATATGGCTGCGATTGAGTTGGGTTATGCTTTATAGGCCCAAACCCCAAAATGAACAGGCAGCCAAACAAACAGATGCCAACTCAGCAGCGAATTGCACAATTACTCTTCGAGCATTATACATAGCAAAATCCAAATGTTGGCATAAAATGGGATTTATTTTGAGGGGTGGTGGTGGAGGTGGATAGGTCACCCAGAAGAAAAAAAATGCAGCCTCCATATTGGAAGTTGCAATTACAGAAAAAATATATCAACCATACCCAGCATGCAAAACTCAACAATAAAATGCAAAAAAAAAAAAGGAGAGGATAAACTGTGCAAGTCCAAGGTTCAACACTTCATCTTGAACACGTAAGAAATAAAATCCAGGCTTCAAAAGAGGGAGCAAAAAACTAGGCTTCTGTATTCACATAAAAACACAGCTATCTGGAAGGCTAAAGGTTAATTTGAACAGGAAAAACTTCCTAAAGCTGAGCTTTCCACAAGAAAGGAAGATGGGGATAGCTTGTCCCCACTTCACAAGTTGTTCTCAAGAAAGAAGAGGAATGACATGATCCTTAACTGGAGATGCCACCACTAAATTGCCAAATTAAGGTGCTAAATCAACTAAAGCCATATTCAGTACTTTTGTAGGGCATAGTTCAGCACATTGGTAGTAACAAGGAAAAATAAATAATAAGCAAATAGTACATATGATAAAATGCCAATCGTTACACGAATCCACCATAGCACCAGTTTCACATGTAACAACAAAAGATCTTTTAACCATTAAACGGAAATGGTCCACTCCACCTGTACAACGAACACTAATCAACACCCACATGTTTATTTACAAAGCAAACTATAGAAAGTTCCTTGACACATAACTCCACCATCGAAAACAACATGCCAAATAAATGGACCGAGATCATAATTATGGCAACATTCGAACCCGGCAACTGCAATGACTCCTAGATCCCACCAAGCATCATGGTCGCAAGAAATAAGTTATCTAATTGTGTGCTGTAGCAAGCATCCTTAGCTGAAGCCTAAGGGAGCAATTACGGAGCGAATCAACACAAATCCCTCCTGTTTTGTTATATAAATTTGCAGGTACCCGCCCCAACATAGGAGCGAACACGCGGATCAAGAAGGAACTAAATTCCGCCACGGCACGGGACATCACTCAGTAGTATCAGTTCACGCCAGAGAGATCGAATAAAACGCAGAGGAGAGTTTATGGGAAGGGCGGGGGCGAAAGTCCACCTTGCCGGAAGCGGCGCCGAACCCCCCGATGTCGGCGTGGTCATCGTCGTAGTGGCGCGCGTCGGCCTCGGCGTCGTCGAGGGGCAGCTGGACCTGCGCGAGCATGAGGTAGTTGGGCTCGTTGTCGGAGGTGTGCGTGCCGAGGATCATCTTCTGGACGGAGTGGTCCTTCCCCGGCGGCTCCGTGCGGTCGGGGAGCCACTGCACGGTGAGGGAGGGCCATTCAAGCGCGTGGGTGATGACGAGGTCGTAGAGGAAGGGCGTGTTCTTCTTCCAGATCTTGTACTCCTCGTTGATGAGGCGCTCCTCCACCTCGGCGCGGAACTCCTCCTCGTCCCCCGCCCCGCCGCCGGCCTTCGGCATCGTCGGTCCGCCGGGGCGCTGGCTAGGGTTAGGGTTTGGGAGCGGAGGGGGGTTTGGGTTGGTGAACGCGGGGCGAAATGGCGGGAGGAGGCGCAGGGGTGGGCAAGTGAGAGAAATTGAGCGAAGGGGACGGACAATGGTGGGGAAGAGCGGCTGCAGTAAAGAAGTGGAAGGGGGCCGAAGCGACGGGAAAAAGGGTTTATCGGTCGGGGTCAGGTCGGGTGGGCTACAAGCTAAAGAAGAGGCCGGTTTGAGGCCCACGTTAAGGTCTTTGTAACAAGAGCCTAACTTCTCCCCCACCCATGACGAGCCCAACACCTCTTTTCTAAATAGACACAGGTTGGTCTTCAAACGGGGAGGTGTCACCTTCGTTGTTGAACTTAGAAATTTTCCCATCCCGATCCTTAAACTTTGTCTCATCTCATATTTACCCAGATGGGTATGAATTCGTGTACTCGTGCAGCAATAAGACTTGAATGCTTGAAATAAAATATTAGCGGGGGGGTATAAACAAAATCGCCCAGACACATAAATTACATAAATATTTACAAACTTCCTAAGGGGTTATTTAAAAAGTCGTCTTATTCCTCATTAGCAACACCGCACAAGCTCATCTCGTCGTCGATTCTGCCGCATAGCGGCCACGGCCACAAGGCGCCCATGAGTTGACACACCCCAATTCGACAACGCTAAAGTTTGTGGCTTCGAATTGGTGCCACAGAGTGTGCGGGATTTATAAAGCTTTTGCTATGGAGTAACCGTGGTTGCCTAATATTTCTCATGAACAAGCAACTGGCAGAATATGTGTGGCGCTGCTACACCTTTGGTTAGGTGTCTAAAGGCCAGAACCAAACAACCTCTAAATAAAACTCATGACCACTGAACCCGGTAATGGTTTGGGCCGAAATCGGTTTTTATGGTTTGTTTTTTTGTTGAGTCAAATTGGTTTCGAGGTTGATGCCGCTTGACTGAGCTTGTCACCGTATAATTCAAGCGCGTAGTAACAAATAGATATAGATCGATTAGCCCCTACCGAATTTGATGGACATCGTGACAGTTCGGAAAAAAAAACAGTAAAGGTGTGAGAGTAGCAGCGAGACAATGAAATATGCAATCAAATCTACTCTTGCTCTGCTAGAGAAGGTGAGACTAGCAGAGCGACGCAAGCATGCATGTTAGCTAGACACAGTGGATCTATCTAATTGAGCAAGTTCGGTGGTCTCCTGAAATTGATCCTCCTACTAACGAAAGAGAGCATGATTGGTACGTAGCTCTAGCTCTGTCCTCTAGCCAGTAGCTAAATCAGTCTGATAAGGTTTCAATCGAGAATGGTATGATGTGGATCAAGGCATCATAGATAGGTGTTCACCAATTCACCAACGGTCACAAAAGGTGATTGATGGAAATACAAATTATCGAGTAAAATGAATGTTAGCCCTCCAATTTGGCCTGGAGTTCCATCCGGTCCTTATAGGGCGCGTTTGGTTCCCTGTATGAGGCCGAACCAGGCCCAACGGATGCAGAGTCCAGAGTGTTTGGATGGCTGGATGAGGGAGTGGGCTTGGTTGATGGGATGCAAAAGGTGTCCTCGGGCCTGACTCCACCGGTGCGGAAAATTTGTTCGTTTCCGCAGGGACAGGCTCGCGTGGTGCGGAGACCGAGCCTCAGCTCGAGTGGCTTGCGACGGCAGTGGCCACGCACCCGGCGCAGGTTCGATTCCCGGAATCGACCTATGTCTCTCACCGGGACTAGCTCCCAGATTAAAATCTACAGCCTCGTCTCGCGTGGCGTCATAAAGGGACTGCAACGTTCCCATCGCCTATGAAGCTACGATGGTTTCGGTCTCTAAAACGACGCGGTCTTCTACTTTGTGTGTAGTTGTAGGTCTGATCGTGCACGTGTGATGTGAGTATGGTGTGTGTGGATGCGTGCGTGCGTGTGATTGAACAGATGCTACGACTGTATCGGATCATGCGAGCGCTGGGGCAGCTGCGCGGGCCGACGAGCGCGTGGACGCGGGAAGATAGGGTTACAACTCCAACACTCGCCACCGTGGCCGCCCATACCACCTCGCGGCTTGGCACATGCGACACCTCCAGGGTGGCGGCGAAGCTTTGCGCTCCCCGCGCAGCGGCTGCGTGACCTCGGCCACCTGCTCGGAGCCCCGCGCAAGCACGACCGCAAGTCCCTTTCCTCTTCTTTATTCTGGTGGACATCTCCCATGTTCTTGCTTTTTGCGTTGGATTTGTCAATTAAGTCTTGTATACGCAAGCAAGTGTTGCTCCTTTCCCCTTTTGTTTCCTTTGATTTCTCATATGATTTGTGCACCTCCTGAACGGATCTAAGGTTTGTGCAAGGTAAAAAAAAAAGGTTTGTGGCACTGAGATTGCAGATCAGTGGCGTTTCCTCCTTTTTCTCCCTGCTGTGTTCACTTTCTCATCTGATTTTTACAAGTTTTGGCATTGTTCAATGGTCACCAAGATGAATGGTAGTTCAATCTTTAGTCATTGTAATTTTAGTTTGCAAAACAATGTAATATTGCAAACTTGCTTGTACGTATTTTGGCGTCATGGAGAAGGTGGTGGTAATCTCACCGTAGCATGCAATGGGTAACTCTATCCAACTTTATCCAGCCAACCAATCATACTTGCTGTATCATTTTTTTTATCAACCAAACATGTGCTCTCTTGGGTCTGGTTCAGAAAAAACAAGCAACCAAACATGTCCCATTTGCACGCGTTCAGCATGGCTACCGAGAGCCTGGCTGCCTAGAGCCACCCAGGCTGGGTTGGGAAGACAACCAAATAAGAACCTAACAATATTAACCATGGAGTGCCACCCAGGCTTTTATCTAGAAACATTAGGAAAGATAGCAATATTAACCATGGAGTGCCAAGACTAGTAAAAAACTCTAGGAGTAAAACGGACTTTTCACATAGGACTTGACACCGTTAACAACCTAAACTGACGGAAGTGTGAAATAGGAAAGAAAAACTCGAGTTCAGGACATATAGGAAAGATTTTCAGTTTCGATATCAAATAAGAAAGGAGCATTATTTTTAGGACCAAATACAAAATTTTCTCTTCATCTGGATGTTGCATATATATGCATGTTTTCATCTGTTTTCAGACGTATGTTGCAAGTGTTTTCATCTAGATATTTGCAATTGCTACACACGTGATTCTAAGGATGTGTTTGGTTGGTTGGATATGCATGGATGGATGGGGACCATTCCATGGATAGGTAGTGTTTGGTTGAAGAATTGGATTGGATTGGATTGAAAAGAGAATATATTATGAAGACGTTGGATTTCCTTATCGTAAAAATCTCGCGGACCAACTTATCTATGCCTTCTAATCTTTGTCATTAGTAAATAAATTAAGCAATATTAATATGTTATATTATTACTTAGTAATTATGATGGTAGGATTAGTTTTGATAAGTGCTAATACTTTGATTAGTGCATGGTTCGTGTGCTAATTAGGGTATTAGTGGTGCTAATTAACATATTTTATTTCAAACTAATGATTATCATGACAAAATTAGTATTAGTGCATATTTATTAGTGTCTAATTAGTTCTTATTATTTTAAATAATAGATATAATTAGTCAACTGTTCTCATCCCATCCACTTTTATCCATCCAAGCGAACAGAAAAATGGTTCGTCCCATCCATCTAACCAAGCATACATCTTGTATACCCTTGTCCTAATATCCATGGATCGTCATATCCCATCCAACTTCGTCCTCCAACCAAACGCACCCTAAGTTTTTTTTTTTAGGTGTTTTGCAAGTGTTTCAGACATATGTTGCAAGTGTTTCAGCCATTTCGGACTTAAGTTGCAAGTGTTTTATTTGAATGTTGTAAAAGTAGATAGGATATTGCACATGTCGAATGGGACCCACCTGCCGCAACAGCTGGGGCGCCGCCGAGCGGGCGCAGACGGTCCCCCCTTGCGGTCGGGCAACGCGGCAGACATCCGAACGCGCACGGGTCCGCGTGGGCGTGTGAAATGAGGAGGCACACAAAATGGGGTGCATGGAAACGGTCCAGCAGGCGCGGGCGTCTGAACGCCCTGTTCGGACGGACGTCCAAGCGCTACCTAGCCCGAGGAACAGAAATAGGAAAAAGTCACAATGAACTAAGAGCTGAGATCATTTGGTTTCAAGAGAGAGAGAGAGCGCGCGCTATGGTCCTTTCTTTGGCCAGAAAGGTGTCACAACTTAGATCGACGTCATATATATGCGCCCTGATCGTTTGGCTGTGGCTTGTCGTAAATGATCATAAATTTCCAGCCGGAACAATATTTTTCTCTCACACAAACCAGCCAGCAGTACTTCTTCACGAACCAGCAACGAAACGAACCAGCCAACCGAACATGCTGATGAAAGCTTATATAAGCGCTAACCTTTCACTTGCAAAATATGCGGAAAAGTAGCTCCAATGTGCAACGGTGTCATAATAGAATTCCTCCCAGCTTTTCCATGATCGAGCCCACGATTTATATCGGAGTATATAATAACGTAAAGACCAAGTTTCAGCCATCAGATGACATACCCTCAACAGATTTGCTCAGTTGCATAGATTCATCTGATTGCACGCAAGACGCGACGGGCCATGGCGCCGTCACGCACAGGCCGCCTGCTGCCGCCGCCGGAAGCGACGACGCCGGCGTGCACGCTTCCTTATGACCTTGTCCTCGAGATAGTTGCGCGGTCGGATGTCGCCACGGTCGTCCGCTCCGCCGCGACATCCTCAGCGCGGCCTTCATCCGCCGCGTCTGCCAGCACGGGCCAAACGGCGGCGTCGTGCCCCCGTTCCTCGTCGGCTACCTCCGCGTCGACAACAAGGCGGGATGGGAGAGGGTGTTCTTCTCCCTGGTGCACCCGGCGACGCCCGCCGCGACGTCGTTCTTCTCCGAGGACCACCTGGCGCCGTTCCTGTCCCGCAGAGCCGCGGGCGCCAACGGCCTCGGTAAACGATACAGGCCCCTGACGTCGCGGAACGGCCTCGTTGTGCTCCGCCGCGGGTTGTCGGACACCTGCGTGTACGACCCCATGACCGGAAACCAGGCGTACCTCCCCCATCCGCCGAACATCGGGAAGCGTTACCGGGATATGTACGGGGTTTACTACACGTACGTCCTGCTCACCGCTGCGGATGGCATCGGCTGCTCCTTCCTTGTCCTCGCCATGGATTCGAGAGTTTCCTGCATCCAGGCCGCGTGGTCAGACGCCGCCGACGGCACATGGGGATGGGGGTCGGTCATCAGCGTGGCCGAACCTGATCGTTATCGTCGTGGCTTTTACTGTGGCCACAGCTGTGCCGTCGTCCTCGATGGCTTGATCCACTGGCTAATGTGCATAGGCTATGGGAGCCCCCCGAACTTGTACATCCCCACCTACGATGTCCCTCGACATGGCACGCGCGCGGCGACGACGACAGGGTCGATCGAGGTCCCGAAGGCCTGCCTGCCGGACAGCTGCGAAAAGTCTGAAGTCCACCTGACGACGTCGCCCGACGGGAGGCTGAGCTTGCTCGTCGCCGACAGGTTCACCATATCGGTCTGGCTGCTGTCCGGGTCCGGCAGCGCCGGTCGTTGGGCACGGCAGTCTGTGATCGACACGGAGGCGATCGTCCGGTCCGTGTCGCCCCATGGGCTGCCGCAGTCTGAGTGGCCTAGCAAGGTGGATTTCGTGAGGTTATCAGCTGGGTTGAGGAGCGGAGCAGACCTGCTACGGCCCTTCATGAGCTGGGATTTCCTGAATGACAAGGGTGAAAAGGGGCTCCTCCTTGACGTTGGCACGGAGGAGATGCGCACAGTTGACAAGAAGGAAGGCTTCCCGTACGAGGTCCACGTGGAGGCACGGCCATCAGCCATGAAAATCTTCGACTAGTTACTTGCTGCCTGTCTGTACCTTCCCTCTAACCGGGTACGTGTTGCCGAGGGCAGGTGGTGAACATCAGAATATGTACGTACTACTAGTCCAGTAGCCCTAGACAACAAAATAATAGACACAGCATCCATCATTTGTTAAGCAAGACTTTTGGAGACTGCGGCAATAAGTCTCTTTGCGTCCTATAGATGACCTTCTTTATCTAGAATTTGGGTTTTTTTTATAGGCAAGAATCTTGTTTATCCAGAGTTGTAAGTTGTAATAAGTTGGTCTGATTCCTCCTCAATGAGGATGAAGCCGGATACTATTTCCATTATTAAAAAAAGCAGACTTACGTGTGGTTATATGTCTCACATCCCAGTATCAAAGCAAATCACTGATGACGAATTGACGATTGGGTAAATGTTCTTGCTCCATAAATAAGCAAGATTTTTCAGGCTATGCTCTCTTCTTTGTCGTAAATCAAGATTTGTCCGGCTATGCTCTTCTTTGTTGTAAATTAAGGTCCCGGTTGGGGGAGCTCTTCCTAGGTCTGGTTCCTCAAGCTAGCTATTGTAGCATGAGCAAGAGCTCTTATTGTGATTGCAGGGTACGATAGAGAATAGCCCAAGAGAATTAGGATGCTTGTAAGCATGAGCAAGAGCTACAAACAAAACATAGTAACATATTTTGATTCACGCGGGATTGCAAATCGATATATGTATATTAACTTTTATGATGATTTTTTTTTAAAAAAAATTATAAGTAATTTCATGTAGCATGACATGACAGCCAGAGGTTTCTTATCTTCAGGGATACCCTACATATGGCCCAGATGGCAGTTTGGAAGGACTTTTTTCAATTAGTTACCATGATGGCACTTGTGTTATGAATGGAAAATCCGGAATCCTACTGATGTATATAGCCCAAAAATAACTTGAAAGAGATCTTCTACTGCTCTTTGCTACAAATTTTCAAAAAGTGGCAATGATATGTAAAATTAATCATTAGGATAAGTTGACCTTCGTGGAGGTCTGTAAACATCTCATTCATCTCCCATAGCCATAGCATGCCCGGTGTTCTGAATCACCCAGTGTTAAAGGTTTTTCTATAACAGTCTGATCTTGAAAGAAACGCTTGCGGTAGAAATCGGTATCGATATCTCCCCTACACCAGTTTAAATAGCTACACAAGGTGCACACCACGTTAAATATTGAAGCGATCTAACTCAAACTCTTGTCAATTGTTGGACTTCGTTTTTTTGAATGAGATAAAAACACAGAAACCAGAGATTAGTGGACCAGACGTCCAGACATGATGTCTCATACAACCTTGAAGAACATAGCAGTCGGTAGGCACATACTTTTTTTCAGCTGAGAAGAACACAGAGAATCATAAGGGGAGGCAGAGGACAACAGGCCAACAGGGAAGAAGAGGAATAGAGGATGTAGGGTCGTCTTGGCTCTTAAAAGATTTGCCAAGATGCAATATTTACAACACAACAAAGATGCTGATCTATTATTCTATTAAGCATTTAAGCCCAGTTCTAATACACAGAAAGATACAATTGTATAAGCGGAAGCACAGATCACTCCAAGCTAGAATTTTCTGCAACAGGTATATGTTGCTTCAGGCCTCGAGAGGAATTAAATAACTCTTAGGTATGCCTACATATCTCGTCACTAATATGCCGAATTTTGATGTTAGGCCAACTAATCCAGAGGACTTTCAAGGTCTGGTCTCTGGTCCATCGTCTTTGACATCACACCATCAGGGAAAGCATCGGGATAAGTGGCTGCTAACCTAGTTTTCATCCCTCTACATAAAAAAAAAACAAAGCCTAATTAGTTGGAAATCTATCTTAGACTTAGGAGTAGACACCAAATGCAAAATCGAGGATAAGAAAAACTGAGCACAAGGACACGATACAACTGGAAACTTAATAGAGAGACGGGGACAGCAATTAAAATTTACAAACATGATGGTACCTTAGCTTTGTGAAAATATGGTCAAGATCAGCCTTCATGGACTTGAGAAGGCGAGTTTTACTAGCAAAATCACTAGACACTTCTGCAAAGCATTGTTCGGAATACTCATTGAAATGAGTGAGAACTGCATTGCTATCTTGCAATCGCCCCAGTCTGCATAGTAAAGGGAAATCACAATCACAATTCAGATGATCATAACTAGAAATGGAAAGGAAGACAATAATTACTGCAACTTCCATCACCAAACAATTGATGTGAATCACTCGAGCAACTAGTGTTACTCATATTTCTTACAAAAAGTTGCATGACATCCTTCATGCTTCATTAGCTAATTTGCTCGCATAAGAAACATTTTAAGAAAAAATGTGAACAAATGTATCATTTCTATGGGAAACTGTAATAGAAGAATAATTACATAAGGCGGGGAAGCTCATGTACATGCAGACCTTTTGCATGGCAGCATAGACTAAACAGTATGACCCAGTATAGCACTGAATCATTTCAAAATTGTAATTGATTCATAGGATGACAGATAATCTGGTGTGCATCGACCTCCTATGATAACTCATCAATTGGGGTAGGCAAGTTAGTCCAAAATCAGAGCATATCTCATGGAAAAAAACTGCAACACTTAACATGTCTGTCAAAAGGTGGGCAGCATTTCGTTCAAATGCCAGGTAGCATTTAGCCATTTAGTTCTTCACTGAATGTCCGAATATCTGTAGTATCCATTACAGAATAGTCAATTTTGTAGATTTTTGTATTCTTCCTATTACAGTAATCATGAATATTTTATGCACCACGATCTCAAGTTAATGGATACTAGTGACTCCAAAAACGATTCTGCTTATGTGAACCTTCAAGTACTTCTGGCTCACCATACAGGTGGCGTTGCATATATGTCATAAAGACATTGTTTATAACCAATTATGGAACTACCCATTAACAGCAAGAATAATAAGATATTTAAGGTCCCGTTTGGTAGGGCTCCTCTCCGGCTCCGGCGGAGGAGCCCTACCAAACGGTTTAGTAATTGTGGCTCCTCCAAAACAGCTCCGGCTCCTCCCTTGAGAAGGAGCCCTAGTGCCCTACCAAACAAGGCCTAAGTCGCCTAACTCTTAAACTTGCAATAAAAAAAAGGCAGTCACATTTCATTTGCAATAGAAGATTAGTGAGTACATAAAGTGCTACAAAATGCTGTTCTCCTAAAGTATCAAGTGCTTCTCTATTTCTTAGAGATAGTAGGTGCCTAGGAGGTACAACCTTCCATTGCAAAAGGAAATGTTATACAGCGGCTACATCCATTTGGTTATGTACATTTGAGGATTGTAATTAATAGTAAGGTTTAGAAACAGCCAAACTCTATACACTTTGGAATCTTGGAGTGTCTGCAACAAGAAGCTAAATTTGTAGGTATTGACTACACAAACGGTACTCTGCCCAGTGAATTATTGGAAAAAATCAAGCTTTCTTAAGATAAGATCCTAAAAAATATATCAAGTGATAACAGGAACTTGTAGATCAAATGGCTCTCTTAATTATAATAGTAGATAGGATTTCCAGAATTTCTAAACAGATTTCTGACAACCTGATATCAACAAAACCTTTCACAGAATGCACATCTAGTTTGGAAGTCAAGTTCCATGCATAGTTTACTTGGATTCTGATATGCCAGCACAAGACAAGGCATACCTTTACAAGTCATCACTAGTCATTAATAGCACGCATAGCTTTTCCTCTGTAAGCTCTTGTCAGTTAAAGCAAATACTAGTTCGGGATTTGATAGGATCATCTTACCTCTAGTTCTAGTAAAGATAGTCATACAAGTGAAGGGCTTTAACATACATGTCTAAACACTAAAACAATTTAGAACATCTTGTAATTAATACAAAGAAGGAAAACTAAACTAATGCAACCTTAACTAACTGTAATACTATAAAAGTTTAGGATCATAACCCTAGGCAGGTTCCTTTTTCTTTGATAAATGATCATAGAATTCATCATGCTATCATATTTGGTAAATAAATATGTCACATGCAAATATTAACATCTTTTATTATCATGTCTGTAATGCAAATTTTGAAATATTTAACTGAATTTCTAAATTTGAGTGCACTTGTTCTCACCAATTTCAATTAAACTGAAGTTTCTAAATAATACAATTCCATTTTCATATGATTTAACCACTGGAAGGTGCCATGTCTGAACTATAATACTACTTAGAACACCTTGTAATTAGTAGAAAGAGGGCAAACTAAACTAATGCAAGCTTTACTAACTATAGATACTATAAAAGTTTATATGCCGGCAAAGTTTTTTGTTAGCATCATTTACATATGCTATGATACCCTCCATTCAAACAATAATATTATTTATTAAGAAAAGCTATACTTGGCATGCCAGGATGGCAGGACCCTTGGGCCATGGGATCCTCACTATGATCCTGAGTTCCTGAGTCCTGACAGCCCTTTTACCTACTACATGCTTCAGTAACCCAAAAACCTACAAAGAAATATTGCCAAAGCAATTACTTATGTTGTAACACACTGTTACCACGTGAAACAGTTTACTGCATTAAATTATTAGATCATCTCCAAGAGCCTTTCTAAATCTCACTCTCTAAATTATTATTTGGAGAGTCATTTGCATGAAAATCACTTTCTATATCTTTTCACTCTCCAACAGCTTTTCTATATCTCTTGCGCACTCTAGAGAGTCATTCTCGTCTTCTATTTTTGGCTAGCGAGAAATCCGGAATAGAAGATGGCTATATTTGGCTAACCATTTAGAGAAGCTGTTGGATGGTAGTTTTTCACCAAAATTTTTATTCCTAGCATTTAGGAAGGATTTGGAGAGTCTCTTGGAGTTGCTCTTAAATATGCCTTTTACATGACTAAGAATATGCATGAACCCAAAATAGCAACAGGTGGTCCATTCAATGGCAGAGCAGTCTAAATTCCCTTTGAACAAATGCAGCACTGGAAAACAAGGCTTAAGCGCCATGATGAACACTCATTTAACTGTGAGGTCTATACATGGATCCATGTGAAATTTTAGTGAGCACCTAGGAAATATGTCCCAGAAAAACAAAAGGCAAAGAGTAATAGGGGCAGCACATGTCAGCACACACTTTAGATGATAATGAATCATCATGAATGGAAGCAACAAATTACTAATTTACTATAGGTGGTTGATTGGTGAATTCTTAATACAAACGGGCACTGAACCTACCCCGGAACCGTCTAAATCTGTCGAGGAAAATACCCAAAAATATCTCAATTCGCACGCTAGGCACAGCAACTGAAAGCCGCAGCAGTAGTACTGATGAATCAGAACATCTGAACCATTCTGGGCTCGACGGGATCGGGGGGTGGGAAGGGGAGCGGGCGAGCTCACATGAGGTGCTGCGTCTGCCTGATGGAGGCGACGTCATCGGGGTCGACGAGCGACCTGAACCGCTCCGCCACCTCCTCCGCGGCTGCCGAGGGGGCGGGCTCCGGTAGCGGCTTCTCCATGGCTTCACCGCCTCCGCCGTCCCTGTTGCTCCCACCGCGGCTGTGGATTCCCCTCCGCTCCGGGTCCGGGTCGAAGCGCTGCGACCTGCGAGCGATTGGGCCAAAACAGATCGAAAAAATTTCCGGGTGGGGATTGGGGAGCCCAAGCGTCAGTTGGACCCCGCGTGGTGCCGCTTCCCTTGGGCCAAAATGGATTTCTGTTTCTGGATGGGACTGTAGGTTCAGCCCATCTGGCAACCAGTCGCTGGGCTTGTAAAGTGGCCCATCGTAAACATTGATCGACCCATGGAAATAAATAGGCTCCTTCTATTTTCTTTTTTATGAATTACAGTTCATGAATGTACACTTATCGTTGCCATAGGTGTCTTGTCGTGGATGGACATGTCTCCTACCACTAAAATAATAACACAGTTAATAAATCATGTAATAAATTTAGGAAAATATGAACACACGTCGACTGACATTTATACTACCACTAAAAAAATAGCGCCATTATATCTTAAAATAATTTTAAAAATTGTGAGCCTCCGTAACATGGTCAAAGAATTGGTCAAGTAGACAGCTTTCACCAAAAGGAAACCAAATAGATGTTCGCAAGCTCCATCCATTTTTCGCTGCCGTAAGAAATAGGATATAGTTAAAACTGATGAAGCGTAACATGAAGCAAAAGTACATTAGCATCAATGCCACGGAATTGTTGTGGAATGAATGGCCCGTCATCATCTGAAAAAAAACTTCGAACAAGCCAAATTTAAAACAAGCTTAAAATTTGAATTGTTGTATAGTTAAAACTGATGAAGCGTAACATGAAGCAAAAGTACATTAGCATCAATGCCACGGTCCCACTGGGATCAATGAATGTGCATCTTCCATCCGAAAAAGTGTCATTCTAGCAATCAATTTAGACAAACATTTGTTCATATTGATATTCTCTCCATTCTCAAATGATAAGACGTTTTCGCTTTTCAGAGTTATATGCACTTAAATATGCACCATGTCTAGACGTAGTAAAAAGCAATATATCTAAAAAAAGTTAAAACGTCTTATAACTTTGAATGGAAAAAGTAGCTAGAATGGCACTTTTTTTTAGACAGAAGTTGTATATGTAAATGTAAGATGTGGGACTAAAACTGGTTTTGTCACATACTATAGGCGCATACCCCGTGGTGACACAGAATATACAGTTTTTTCTTTAAAAAAACACGGAATATGCATGTTTTTCCTTGACAGGCATAAGGAAAAAGTATCTCATCATGACAAGAAGAATAAATCCATTTGATATGAAACAAAAAACCAAGTGTCTGGGTAGCTGCACTCAAATGACATCCGCTGCCAGATTGTTATAACCATTCCAAACGGTTAATCCAGCCAAGAGAATCAAGCCATGTCCCATGTAGTATAGGAGTACTCCTAGTCCTAGCAGAGGTAGCAGCAGCTGCGTGCACGCACAGCCGGCGGCACAGGGACATATCAAATCGCACATTCACGGGCGTCGCCGCGCGGGTCACATCACATCGCACATCGCAGGTCAAACTGCAAAAGCATTGAAGCCACAGCACGCACCCTGGCTCGCTGCAGCAAGGAGCATGTAGCGTAGTAACAGTCTGCACTGTGCAGTGCAGAGGGCATGCAGAGGCCAGAGGCACGCAGCCAATGTGCCATCATGGTCAGACCGTCGGAGCATCTACCAGAACATGTACAGTCCTAGGCCAATGTGCTGCGTGCTATCTTATCCTATCATGCACGGCTGCACTGCCCGCCCTGCATCTTGTAGGACTATCGGAATCGGAGCGGCGACCAGTGTTCTGCACTGGAGTAGTACGAGTATGCTCCAGCGACGAGACCGTGGCGGTCGGTACGCACGCCAGATCACGCGGCAGGCCAAATGGCACCCACCGTCCGTCCAAGTCCAACAAACAAGGTGCAGACGACGTGCAGTGACAAGCTCCCTCGTCAGCCGCGTCCGCCGTCCGTCCGCGTGCACGTCGAATCCGCTGCATGATGATGCCTCCTCGCCTATCATCGCCGGCCGCGCCGCAGACAGAGAGCCCGAGCGAGCAACCGCGTTGTGCTGGCCCGGGCCACCAGGTTACCGAGCTTCGCCGCCCGCCGCCGCGTGGCCCGCGCGCTGCCAAGCGCCGGCGCCGCTCCCGGGTTTATTCCCGACCGGCGGATCTCGGCGCCGGCCCCTGCTCGATCTCTGTCACGTCACGGCACCGCACCGCGTGCAACCTCGCGATGAATGCCCAGTTGCCCCCGCTTGCGTTGCGTGCCCACCCAACTACCCCAAGGGGAGCAGAGCAGTAAACATGAGAGAGGGAATAGACGAGGAGGAGAGAACACGGAACAGGACAGGAGGGAGTGAATGCGATGCGATGGAACAGTGAAAGCTGGCCCGGCAGGCGGCAGACAAAACGGAGGGAAGATCTGCCATCGACAAGACGCGGCCTGTCTGCCCGTGCCCAGTGCCCTGCTCCGCTGCCCGCCTACTCTGCCGCCTCGCGTGCCACGCCGAGGCCCCGGCCCCGGCCCTGCCTGCGCGGCAGCTGCCGCGTACAAACCGGACAAACGCTCAGCTATGCCTCACTGCCTACGCGCGCGCAGGCGCAGCGGCGCGTGCTACCGATAACCGCAGCAGACCGCTCCGACCTCTGGTCCCACGGCAACGGACCCGGGACGTCCGTGCTGACCATACGTCCATACACGAGGAGTAGGCCGCCGATCCCGTCTCGCACGCGGCTATTTTGGCAACTATCCTCTCACCAGGTACAGGGCTGGCTAAGCTAAGGTCATGTTTCGATACCCTATGAATTTTGGAAATCTGGATCCTAGACGGACATTCTAAGAATAGATTTTAAAATTTTACATATTTGGTTCTTTGATTCTAACTTGAGATTATACAGTGGTTGAAGGAGTCCATACCCACAATACCCTCGGCGTTGCATCAATTAGTAACTCACACCAGGGACAAACTCATCATTTCTCCAGCCATTATCTATTTTTAGCCAGGCTAGTGTGGCTTCTCGTATTATTGTAATCTACTCTTTCCGTTCCAAATTATAAACCCCCTCTCTATATATTTTCACCCTCTGACAACTTCTATATATCTTGTAATTAACTTGCTTCTTCGTCTTTAGCAACTCCCATGTATGTCTAACCTTGCAAGGGCATGCCAAACACTAGTCATGATTGTTAGGATGTTGCTTTAATGCCAACAACTTAACCTCGGTCATCCTCTAAGGGCCTATTTGGATCCACCTACTAAACTTAGCTGTCTAATTATAGGCCCACTTCTCTCCTGAACTATTCACTCAAATGTATAACCAAGATCCTGTCTACACGGCTACAGACAGTGATACTGGAGTTAATCAACACAAACCAATATGGGTTCATAAAGGGCAGAACTATCCAAGATTGTCTAGCTTGGGCCTTTCAGTTCCTACATCTCTGCCACAAATCCAAGAAAGAAGTGGTTATACTTAAATTGGATTTTGAGAAAGCCTTTGACAAGTTGGAACACCATGTTATTCTGCAGGTGCTTAGACATAAGGGTTTTCCAGATAGATGGGTCTCTTGGATTGAAAACATTCTAAGCTCTGGTTCTTTCTCAGTACTTTTAAATGGAATTCCAGGGAAACCATTTAATTGTAGAAGGGGTGTTAGACAAGGTGACCCCCTATCCCCATTGCTTTTTGTACTAGCAGCAGACTTGCTCCAATCAGTAGTGAATAGAGCATGGCATTCTGGAATTCTTCAACATCCTCTTAGTGAAGACTTTGGAGGTGACTTCCCTATTATTCAATATGCTGATGACACACTCTTGATCCTTCCAGGTAATGCTAGAGTTCTCTTCAACTTAAAGGGTATCCTGAGATCATTCTCTGACTCAACTGGCAACTTTGATAAAATTTTTTAGTCCCAATCAATGCTACTGAAGCTAGAGCTCGACATCTTGCCAGAACCTTTGGATGCAAAGTTGGTAAGATGCCATTTACTTACCTAGGACTTCCACATGGAACAAACAAGACATCTTTACAGGATTTCACACACTTGATGTGCAGAATAGAAAGAAGGCTTTCTGGTATAATCAAATTCTTATCTTACAATGGCAGGCTTATTCTTGTAAATTCTGTGTTTTCAGCTCTACCCATTTTCTACATGTGTAGCCTGAAAATACCTCCACAGGTAATCAAACAGGTTGATATATATAGGAAGCATTGCCTTTGGAGTAAGGGAGACATCAACAGAAGAGGGTCATGTTTAGTGGCATGGGAAACAGCTTGCAAACCTAAAACTGAAGGTGGCCTGGGTATTATTGATCTGGAAAGTCAAAACAACGCACCATTGATGAAATCTCTAGACAAGTTCTACAATAAAGCAGACATTCCATGGGTCTCCTTAACCTGGTCAAAATTCTATGCCAACAATCAAACTCCACATCAAGCTAGATGTCCTGTTGGTTCTTTTTTGGTGGAAAGATGTCATCAAACTTTTTGAGAAATTTCAGGATTTTTCCAACTGCAGTCCTAATAAAGGTGACACTCAAGTCTTCTAGACAGGTTGCTGGGCAGGTGAAATTCTCAGAGAATTGTACCCTCAACTCTTTTCTTTCGCCAGGAAACCAAAGTGTTCAATCAGCTATTTTAAAGATCAAGATGCTGATAGACTGTTCAGTCTTCCTCTCTCTCAATTAGCTGCCACTCAGCTAACAGAAGTGGAGCAACTCATGCAAGACAGGATAGGGGATGAGACTACTAATGACTAGGGCTGGATATTGAGCTAGCTTGGCTCGTTATAGCTCGGCTGGCTCGGCTCGTTATCAAGCTGTCTCGGCTCAGCTCGTTATACTAACGAGCTAGAAACTCAGTTCAGTTCGGCTCGTTTGGCAGCTCGAGCTGGCTCGTTTGGCTCGCAAGCTAACTTAAATTTTTTTCTTCCTGTTGAGGTTATTCATCCAACAAAAGACAGAGATGAGTACTGATTTGTGAAAAGCAAAATAAATAAGAAGACGGATGATTTGATGCTGGTTTGGGAAAATCAAGAAAAAAAACAAAAGCTAATGCTTGCTGGTGTGCATTGGCTTGCAAGCAAGTAAGCAAAGTTGCGATTGCAAGGCCCTAGCGAGCAGCAGGCGCCAGGCGACTTAGGGGTGGGAGCGTGGGAGTTGGGGTCTAGAGTTTTATCATATTGGACCAATGGTGTGACACCCCAAGTGTCAATTTCAAGTTAAGCAGTGAATTAAGTCTAATCTAAACAAGTCAAAGGATGATTATAAGCTTTAATTTAACACCTGACAAGTGGTGACAGAGGTGGAGTCAAATTCTTTCTAATATGACCTAACTTAAACTTTTCAAAGGCAAGACAAAACTCTTTTGTTCAAAAGTAAATTTTATTTCAAAATGTGCATGAGTAGTTTTAATCATGTCTTTTCATGTGCATCACCTAATCATGAACATATTCTATCCACATGAAAAGTTGCATGTTGTTTTGGATCAAAAAGTTATATGAAATGATAATTTCCGCTTTGCTTAAAACCATTTTTGTTAGTTGAGTAGAAACATGTGATGTCAACTAAACCTTGCATTCATGTTTAAACAACTCTAATTTAACTCTTAAACAAAAGTTAGTTAGGGTTTATATTTGGAAAATGTGAAGAAAATGCTTAAAAATAGCTAAAACTCTAGTTTAAACCTTTTCATGTTTGCTGCTTTGGTCAATATAGAACTTTGGTTTTTGTTCCAGTTTTGAGGTTTGTCCTTTAATAAAAGTTGTAGTTTAGTTTGTGTACAAAGAACTTTGTTTTTGGACCCTAGCCTAAATCAGCCTCTAACCTGATAAAACAGTGGCTCCAAGTTTGAATTCAGTGCTATTTTTTCCTCACTCGGCATTTTGGCTAAGTTCTGAAAAATAGTAATTAAGTTCAATCTTTGGTGATTTATTAAAACAAATTTCATAAATAAAATTTGTGGAACTTTATTTCTATGAATTGATATGAAGTTTGTACTTTGATATTGTGCCATTGGTTGGATTGTTTGAAAGTGTTCTGGCCACTAACTAATTACCTTAATATAGTTAACAAACTGTCCTTGAATTACTGAAACTGAATTCAGATTTCAGTTTGGGGTTGATGTTTTCAAAATTCAATATCTCTCAAACTATTGAGTTATTGATGTTGGTTCCATAATAGAAGAAGGAGATCACAACCGAATAAGCAACTTTTATTAAAGGAGTGCATCAAGTTATTTTACAAAATGGGGAGAAAATGAGAAAGGAAGAGGCGCTGTCAGTTTACTACAGTAAAATATTGTTGTGTTGTTCGCGGGGGGCACGGCCCCTACCTCACCTGGCTCCACCACTACATGTAAACCTTTCTTCCCTGTTTTTGATAATCCCATGTTGCTGGATCTATCGTCAGTGGCTATACTAATCCGACTTTGTTAGGGTGCCGCTACAATGTGTCCCAGTCTCGTTTATCTTTTACCTTCAACGATTAGTAGGAGGGGGCCAAGTGCTAAAAGATATATTATTAGGGAGAAAAGACAAATTAATATTTTTCATTAAATTATATATAGCAAAATATATGTGCATGCTTGGCCCCCTCAGCCCCTCACTCCCTCCGTCCCTGTAGTTGGCTCACATATAAAATCACATGTCTTGCACACAGTACCACCACTGGGTGACTTTTGTCATTATGGGCTTTCTCTAGGCTTGTTAAATTCGTTCATAACCCTAAAACTCATCAAAGCTAGTAAACAAAGACAAAGAAGGCAAAAGTAGAAAAAAAAACATTTGTTATCTCCCTATAAAATACTCGGTTATAATATGGTTTAACTCTTTTATATAAAAATCCAAAAATGTATAGTATTGGAGTAGTTCTCTACATTTTAAAAAATAATTTCTGCTGTTATCCGTCGACTGAAAGTCAGCCAAGAAAGAACGTCAACTGTCGTAAAAAAATCGAACCTTTATTGTCATTTTATTTTTCAAAAATTCACTAGTTATTTGTCACTCCGAGTACATCACAATTCACACCTGCCCCTTGCAGTTGCACCGCGACACGTAGCGAATTCCATGTCATGGTTGGAACAAACCAACCACAAACTCTTACATCCATATATCTTCGATCCAAGTCGCATCACCGAGAGTCTGAAATCATCCACCGCCCATGTACACTTCGACAGCGCCTCGGCCGGTCCGTGGATGCGAGAAACCGAAACGCGGCGAGTTTGGCGCCACGACCGACGCCAGCGCACGCGGCGGCGACCGGGTCCGGGGTTAGGTAAGGCGGCCCGTCACCGTCCTCAGGTGCCCTCAGCCATAGCTTTCTCCACCTCTCCTTCCTTCCTGTCCATCGCCAGCTCAGGTCAGGTGGCCTCTACCAGAAGACCACGCACCTGACCTAACCAGATCAGTTCGGTTGCGAGTCTAACCACCACAGCGGCCGCCATCGTCTGCCATCCAGGACCCCACGTCCGAGGTCGGCAAGCGGCCACGTCATGTATCACGCTTCCCCAATCAAGCAAAGAAGAAGCAAAGAATTCAGCAGCAGAGACGCAATGGTCCAACCAAATTTTCAGGAGATGCAGCAAACCAGGATCCATCATCATAAGATAGCAAGCAAGCAAAGACGAACGACTACAAATCTGTTTGTTCCACGGGATGAACTAGGGAGGTGCGTTTCACAGGTTGCCTGGACACAGGCAAAAGCGACAGTACATGGATACAGAGTTCAAATAACAGCTGCAAATGCTAGGCGACTTGGCTCTACTAGGTAGGGGCCGGTTCTCACACGAAGGACCAGTTCACGAACATGAAGGCGAGGCAGTGCGGGGTGTCATCGTCGCTCAGGACCTTCCACGCCACCGCCTGCTCGTACGACACCGGCCGCCCCATGCTCGATACACACACGCCGCCGGGGAGGTAAGCGAAGCCCTGGAGTGCACACAGATTCATGGTGTCATTAGCATTTCAGAAATGGTTGGCATTGGTAGAACCTAGGAGGTTGTAAGGAAAAGTGATTATTGCATACCTGCTGCATAATCTTAGGGTACTCGGTGCAGAGCGCCTTCCTGCCATCATCATCAAGGATCTTCTCAAGGGAGATGTCCTGGAGAGCAATCAGTGTTGTCTCCAGCATGTCGAGGCCAGCTTGGTTGGCAAAGGTGAACACAGGAGCAGCCTGAACTCATGGTTTCACAAAACTTTCATGAGCCAAACAACAACACAATGGCAAGTCACGAATTGACAAAACAAGCAAGAACGACCAATTACCTTCAGGGAACAGCACATGATTGAGTCTGAGTGTTGCCACAGTGCTTTCAAGGAAGCATCAGTGCATTGGGTGTCTGTGCGAAGGAGTTCTGCTCCAGTGTGAAACCTGAAATTTTAACACAGACAGAGATTACTAACTACATTGCACAATTGAACAGAGTGTAATATGATTCAGACTGAACAATTGATAGGTCAACCCATGCTGCAACCTCTCTAAATAGTTCTCAAAATTGCTAACCAGATTCAGGAAAGAAAAGACTTTTCACCTGTAGCTCCTGCCGATCCACCTCGCAAGCGTGTGTGCCTCAGGAGATCCTGGAGTTTGCTTCATTTCAAGCTGTCCACCAAGACGGGAAGGAGCTATTGCCATGGCCACCCTCTGCACTGATGCCACCACAGTCCTGACATATTGCCTGGCCATTGCTGCAACGCTTTCCCGTAGGTGATTCTCATATGAGAACTGGAAAGCAATGGTCAGCACTGATCTTGTGGTGCAGGTGCTGGAGGCATCACTTGAAGCACGAGTAGTCCCACCAGATCCAACCTCAAGAGTAGATGCTAGGTCAAGTGTGCGTGTGCCTGATGGTGGATCCTGCCAGTTCATTGTTACCAACGCATTGTTAGTTTAGGCCATCACAAAGAGTAACACTACAAGCACAAAAAAGTAGTACTAACCATCTTTGCATCCAGTGGAATGACACGGAAGCCTGAGGGCAGCAGTGGTGCATCATCAGCAAAAGATTCATCGATGGGTGCAAAGACAAGCTGTGCACATGCACCAGCTGCATTTTCATCCACGCCACTGCATAACTGCAAAAGAATATACTTACAATTGTGAGGTTGATGCAACAACACAACTGAAATGAAGACAAAGTGAAAATGCTATCTGATCATATACCTGCAGAAGATACATATCTCGTGACAGAACAACTTCATCATGGCAGAGGCTGTGTCCCTCAAGCCTAATAACCTCCAAGAACTGCAAACAAAAAGTCAGTTTGATGAAAATGATCAGTCAATCAATGGTGTAAGGAAATTATTAATTTGAAATTAGCTAGAAATTACCTCTTCATGCTCTAAGGTATGTGCAAGCGGCAGAATAACCTGGCTGCCCATAAACCCACTAGCACTCAAGCCAGGAACTGCATATGGACTAGCCCTCAGAGCAGCGGCAGAATAAGCATCAACACCAGGATCAGCCCATTCGGAGCGATGCTCCCTCAGAAATCGTACTAGTAGGGCAGGTGGCACATTCTACATTCAGACAAAGTCGTAAGAACTTTGTTATAATCAAGTTATATAACATCAAACAAGTGCATAACCGTAGCTAAAACTGGATGGATAAGAGTACAAACCTGAAGCAGCATTGATGCCTTAGCACACAGGATGCCACCTCCAATCGCAGTAAACAGCTGGGAGGAGTTGACATGAGAACCAATAGGTTTGTTTGGAGAAGAGTTTATAGCAATAGTAACATCCTCAGCACCGTCACTGCTCATCAGTGACCAACCATCATCTGGAAACCCATTGACAGCATCATTGAAACCCCTGTAAATTACATTAAAGAAGTTAGAAGTGCCATGTGTATGGGTCCTGCCGATAAATTAAAACGGCACAAATGGTAAATGAGAACACATGAACACAGCCACAAACCTGCTAAGCCTCTGGCTAAATGTTCTCAGAACTGCTGGCTGGCGGCCCCCTCCATAGGGCATTTCCCCACTCGATTCATGTGCAATTTGCCTGATGTGACGCAGTGCCTGCATCATAGAAATAAGAAATCATGACTCTGGTCATTCATACATCAGTTGCAAATAGTACTTGACAGTTGACACCAATGAATTATTGAGAAAGCAAGCATACAGCAATAGTTGTTTTCTGGGCAAGAATCTTCGGAGATTCATAAAGTGGTCTAAGGACCTCAGGCACACTCCAAGCCTACAAGAAGGTAAGATTGTTAAGATGCAAGCACAAAAGTTTTTATTCAAGTCTAGAGATCCAGTTAAAGCGTCCAAATTGGACAGGACAATATTGATTCCACTTACATCTAAATCAACATGATCCACAATGTGAATCATGGAGCCACCACCCTCACAAGGTCGAATTAAATAGCCACTAGGAAGCACCTCGGCTCTGACAAAATTTGGAGTGTTGGGTCCTGATGGGCCTCCAGTCGATTGTGTCAATGATCTCTCACAGATCTACAGAACAAGACAAGAAACAACAGTTACCAACTGTAAGCACAATAGATATCCTGAGGGCAATCAAGTAGCACCTAACACAAGCATACAAAGTTGCAGCACAGTTGTTTGATCCAAACAGAACAAGCAAACAGAATTGACAAGACTAACATAAATGACAACATCATGGGGAAAAAAAACATTACCACAAGACTGCCATCCTCAAGACCACTAGTGTATCGGAGAGTCCAAAAGTCTCGCGGTGCCGCCAAAGTTGTCGGTGCGTAAGTCTAAAGAATGTGATCAAAGTACAGTCATGTATGACGATGATTCAAGAATGTGAAAAGGACTATAACTTGTATGACGATGCTTACCTGCATGTAGATAAGCTCGATAGTTCCACCGTTACCCGTAGGGATAACATGGAGGATATCCACGCACCGGCAGTCGCGGTACCAAGAAGGGCGATCCTTGAGGATCTCCGCGACCTATGGACTAGTCAATTAGGGCATGTCTGCTGAATGGAAACATAAAGCTATGTGATGATGAAGAATGAACAAAAAAACACACCTTTGTGGGCTCAAGGCTCACTAGGCCGCAAGCTCGGGCTGCTACGCCACTACAATTGTGCGAAACAGCGATGATTCCAATGGAATCCGGACCAGGCTGTAAAGGAATTCATGCTTTAAGTAATTAGCCAAAACACAAATGAAGTAGGCAATACATGGCACAAATCTTTCTTTTTTGTTGCAACAAGTATATTACCTTCATCCCAACCATTTGCACCCAATCGACAGCAGTTCCTGTCGCTTTCGACAGGAACTCTGCCAAGGTCTCCTCAGCGATAGCTAGTAGACTGCCATAATGAAAAAGAACTCCATCAGATCCACAAGCATGCAAGCACAAAAGCGGTCTAAGAAATGTTGGGGGCAGAAATTACCCAGCTGGGTTATTCGCATCCCGTTGAGGACGCGGAGCTGCTGGGTTTTGCTGTTGGTGGTGCTGACCACTTGTGACCACAGACTCACAGCTCGTGTCTGTGGTCGCAGCAGAAGGCTGCAAACATCATAACACACAGTATTGGACGTTGAAGCATGCAACAAGGTGCACATCAAAAGTTACATAAAACAGCACATTCACTTCTACATGAGACTTGGCAGCATTCAGCTGATTTATCTAGAAAAATACAAGCAAGATGGTTCTGGGGAATGAGCAAAGGAGATGGATCTCACATTGTGGAGCTGCTGTCGCATGTACCCATTCTCGTAGACGAGTCGGGAGACCTGCTTCTGCAACCTGTCATTCTCCTCCATCAACAGCTTGTTCATCGCAGTCAGCTTCCGGTTCACAGTCTGCAGGCGCGAGGCCTCCTTCCGCTGCTTCTCGCGGCATCTACCAATCAATCGCAAGAATCATCAGAATCCACTTGCAGATGAAGAAAACAAGACAACGATTCCTGGCTCGCAGTATTCAAATGTAATTGCTTATTCTAAACATCGTATTCCAGCTACAAGACTGTGTGGCAGTAAAGCAAGCAATGGCTCACACTAACTCAGGCGTGTTAATTGGTTGCCCAACTGAAAATGATGTTTTGTTTCCCCACTACCCAACATTGTGATAGGCACGGGGTATCTAATTAGATCCATTTATTTATCCATGTACAGGGACATCGGCTTTTTCTTAGAAATGCTAAGCAAATGTTGCTACTCCTACATGCGGAGAAAACAACAGTAGCACATGCGAGCAACAAAAGACACATCGCATCCATTACGCCTAACCGCGAGACAAACGAGAGAGAAAAAAATCTCACCAAAGATAGTCCTACAGCGCAGTACTCGATGTCAAGTTCCAGCTGAAAACCTGAGCTAATATGGACCGACCTCAAAACTCAAAAAACTAAAAGAAAAAACATACCATAGAAACCGATGACTCCAAACAAAAACAGACCAAGGGAGGGCCTTGTATGCTGGCAGCCAGTCCAATGCAAGAGACAGAACGTAACATCCTTGAAATCTAACCAGAGCTTTAGTACCAAAACCATTTCCCCCCACTTCTCTTTGTACTCAAGATGATTTCGATGGCTTACTTACATGAAAGCAAACATCCTAAGAATATGCGGCTAACAAGGAAGCTCGTTCCATTAATAATAAATTTAACCCAACCTAAGAAAGCAACCACTCAAAAAAAAAGAGGGAGAGAGAAAGAGAGAAATTTGAGCCGCAGGAATGCATAATTCGTCAACAAATAAGCGGAGGCATGAACAGAGATGAGATGAGATGATGGATGGAGAGAGAAGGGCTGGTGGTTCCGGCGACGCACGCACCTGCGGTTCTGGAACCAGACCTTGATCTGCTTGGGCTCGATGTTGCTGAGTATGGGGCACTCCCTGATGAGCTGCTGCCTGCGCAGCGAGCTGGGCTTGGGGCACTCGCTGTAGACCCGCTCGAGCGCCTCGACCTGCTCGGGGGTGTAGCGCACGTACTTGCCCGTGTCCACCTGCGGCGCCCCACCGCCGCCAGGCGACGACCGGTCCTTGCCGCCCCCGACCACCACCATCGCCATCTAGCTAGCACCGCCGCCCAAGGAGGAGGAGGAGGGGTTGTCGTCGCGGGGAGACGGAGAGGACGGAGAGCCACGGCCACGGGCGGCGCCAAGTCATAGCCTCGGGGCGAGAGCGCAGCCGCCCGACGCCATGGTGGTGAGAGGAGAGGAGTGGCGGTGGTGCTGGGGGGTGGTTGTTGCTTGCTTGCCGAGCGGCGGGGAGGGTGAGGAGGGGAGGAGCGCAAGGGAAAGGGAAAGCTAGCGGCGAGACGGGGATGGGAGAGAGAGGTGAGCGAGAGGCGAGTGGGGGTTGGTTTAATAATAGCGGCAAATGCTCCTCAGCTCAGCTCAGCTGGGGTAGACAGAGAGAGATACATACGGAGGTGTCTTTTCAAATAATGTACTCGTATTTTCTTTTCCTCTCTTATATTAGTCTTGTTTCTGAAATTCATCAGTTTCTTTTTCTTTTTGTCCGGTTACAAGGTGACACGCATCACAGATGTAATGTAGCTCTAGTATTTTTCTTTCTTCTGTTATAAAGCCCTAGTCTTCTATAGAAATAATGGTAACCTTTGAACATACTAGATATTTAGCATTAGGATTAGATCTACATAGAGTTTAAGGTTCACAAATAAGGCAAACATAGGGCCCTTAGTGCTGGTTTAGTGAGGCACTTATGATGGCTTCAACTCCACGTACTATAGCGCAGAGCTAGTGAAGTAAAAAAAAAATGGCTCTATTAGCTTTCTCTATCCCCGCGCAGTAGTAAAAAATGCAGGTGAAACCAGAGAGCTGAGGAGCTCCAACAAAGAGAGTCTTAGTTTGTGTCTCAGGTAAATCCATGTATGCATTAAGCAATATTAACATTCATTCTATTAAAACACATGCACACAAACAAACATGCACCTCTTAGGACACCCGCAATGGCTAACTCATAAGTTAGCTTTTAGTATTTTTTCATACTTTAATAGAAGAGAGAGAAAAGCTAGCTCTTGATCAAGAGCTAGGCTCATACACATATTTTAAGATCATGTGAGAGTGTCACGTGAGGCTAATTATACTATGAGTCATTACTAAGAGCTAGCACTATTGGAGATGTTGGTTTAGAGCTAATAACTGACTTATACCATTGTGAGTGCCCTTATATGTTTTCATGGCTCTTCCTTGCAATTGATTAGTTAGGATAGATAGAATTGCGCACCGGGGGAATATGTAATGTGGCAAGGTTTATTAGAGGTGCCAAGTGGCTTAACATATAGGTTTCCGATGCAAATAGCAGCCATGTAGGGAGCTTACATATTGGAGAAGCTCCTCCATGTCTCTATCAAGTTAGGTTGTTTAGATCTCATGAACATTATAGCCCGGGATCATCATGCAAGAAAAAAAAAGAGAAAAGAGAGATGCTAGGAAGAGCAAAGTTTAAGTTGAAAAAATTTCCCAATAAAGACAATGAGTGCATGAAGATAGACAAATTATCCACTAACCCTTTTTCGATAAACTTTTGAAAATTAGGACCTTATATAAACATTTGGAGGTGTGTTCTCTTGGCTCACATAAGGCCCTTTTTATTACCATACCACACAACCTGATGCACGAGATTTGGGTAAAAGATCTACTTACATTCGTGATGGAGTTAAATTGAAGAAGCATCCATGCCCATCAGCAGGAAAGGTTGGTTCACCAAAAATAAACATTTTTTTTAGCTTCACGAAAAAAACGCTGAGCTACAGTACATGCGACATTTACTCAAAAACTGTGCATATTTTATAGCCAGCAATAAATAAAAAGCTAAACATTGTGGACCCAAATCCAGGGCCCAGGGCCAAGTCTGACGCGTTGTGTTGTGTGTGTGGTTGCGAAATTGGACGGACAAATATTCTCTCCTTTGGAGGATGTCCATTTTGTTTTGTTTTTGGCTTGGGGAGGTGTGTCGTTGGTGGCGCTGCGTGCTTTTGATGGCAGGCACATGCCCGTGGCAAAACGCAGGAGTAGGCATGCTCGCTCATGGACTCATGGTCATGGCAGGGGTAAATACGGTGGCCAAGGACGCGGAGCACGACCCCACAGTGCCGGCCTTTTGGAGGTGAACTGTGAGCCTGAGCGGCAACGACACACGCACGCATTTGTCTACAAACCACGTGACAACTAATAGAATTACAACTAATGTCTTAGAGCGTATCCACGAATACCCAGTACTATTTTTCTAAAAACATGAAATTTTACGACTCTTAAAAAAATATTGAAAGAAATAAAAAAAAGACCATCTTCAAGAGTTTCTAATAATCCACTTCTAAAATAGAGAAGATAATTTTATATCAGGAATCCCATACTATTTCTAAATTATCCTAACCACTTTTATATATTCTTTCTCTCTTGTATGTTTACATCAGGAACAATTTTCTACTCTTTATTCTTTCCACGTCCTTCCACCTTTACATTGGCCGACAAATACGCGCGGGAGAGAGAAGATACGCGCGATTCGGAAGCGCGTAACTTTATGCGGAACATGGTGACTTTTCCCAAGTTCTAAAAGATTAGGAGGATGGATTAAGAGTTGTTGGAGATGGATTTTTTCTCATCTTGCTAAAAACCAAGGATTAGAAAGGGATTTAGACAACTCTCGGAGATGCTCTTAAAACAGAACTGCATGCCAATTTCTGTAAATGGGTTCACAAAACCACAATTACTTGAGGCATACTCCCTCCAAGTTGGTAAAATAAATCTTTTTGATAGCGGCGCGGTCTCTAAAGCATAACTTTGACTTCTTATTTTTATTAAAGTATGTATTCAAAAGCGATATATGCATATGTTTATGAAAGTATTTTTCAACATAAATCTATTCATGTGGTTTTCATATTTTTAAACTCAGCAACTTAAAAGTTATTCATGATTTATATTCTCAATGACCCAAACCTTATTAAAATGACTTCTTTTACCCACATGAAGGGAGTACAACCTTTTGCACGAACCTATATGTCAGTCACACAAATTATATATAGGCCCATATGTCAACTTGTGTGGATGACATGTAGGTCCACAAAGAATGTTGTAAGTTATTAAAAAAAAGAATGTTGTAAGTTTGTGCTTATATGAAATTGATCCTCAAATTTGTAGTACTATACGCAAATACTCGTAGTTTCGTGAAATTTACTATAATATTATTAGGGATCATGCTAGTAGAGAAATGTGTGCAGTGTGTTTTCCTTCATGCTTCGGCCCCAAAATGTTGTAAGGTAATGAAGGGATCAGTTTCATTACCTCTGCCACCAGCAATTAACGATGCACTTGGGCCCGTTTAGTATAGAAGAGCTGTTTGGAGCTATTTTTCAGTGAAAAACGGAGAAGCCAGAGCCGTTTTGAAGGAGCCCTTGGGGAGGAGCCCTCCCAAACAAGGCCTTAATTAGGGATCAAAGCAGGTAATGTCCTCTATATACAGTGATCCATTTAATTGTATCGGATACATACCAAGCTGATACTGTACGGATACACTTTATGAATGTGGGTTTTTTCGATGTCTACATGATACTGGTTCATAAGAAAATATCATGCAGCCTGTCAGTATATTTTTTTCTATGAATATATACATGCCATTATATTTATTTTTAGAATAATTTCTTTATACGCTATTGGCGTAAACCTAAATGCTTATCTGCCGCCTAAAAAACATGACTCTCATATATGTTATTGGTGTTAATAAACTATAATCCCTTCTATGCCAAGTAATTGTCTGGGTAAGTATATAAACATTCAGATATCAGCATTGCTCCTATTACTAATTTACTATTAATCATCCTTAAATCGTGAAGGTGGTTAACAATGAGCAAATGAATGACTCGGTCAGGAAATTAAGAGGTGGTAGAGATGGATGTGTGACGGGGGAAGGAGTGGCGTGGGCTGCTCGCCGACATACCCCGTGAGCGTGAGAGGTTCTCTGCCGCAACCGGTAACCGAAGATAAAGCGAAAGGAGAGAAGACGGCCAAGAACACGAGAGAGAGAGAGCAGCCTGCAGTGGTCGGAGCACGAGAATACTAATGAACAAGCAGGCTTTAGACTGTATACGGACTGTTCATATATACTGTAGACTGACCCGATCCCCGTGGAATAAAACTGTGTATCTGATGCCCTCGGCTATCTGCGTAGCTTAGCTGCATCTGCTTGCACAAGCGGGGCCCCACGTCACCTTAGCCGATAGCAATGTGCTTGCGCTTTTCCAAACGGGTCCTCAGTTGAAACGTAGTATACCGCGGTAGTAAGATCAATGAAAGGGTTCAAAAGTCAGTGGTAATGTGATTCTCGATGTTGTTGGATTTGGTGGTTGGGGGGTTGGGGGTTGTAAATTCGTTACTGTTTCAACTCAAGAGGGACGACTGATGGTTCCCCTGATCAGCTGATCTGAATGAACAAGCAACGATTTTTCACAGAATTTTGCTGATACCTGGCGTCTTCTTTGAACGTGAACATGTAGCAGGATTACCCCAAACTTTAGGCAGCCTGCAGAAGGCTCTTCATTGCGGCAGCAGAGTCTGTGCTTCGGAGGCAACAAAACAGCGGAATCATTTTTGGTGCCGGGAGCGGCCGGGCCGGGAGGGACAATTACTCCTATTTTTCGCCGGCGAGAGACCAGGGCCAGGCACGAGGCAGGAGCCAGGAGGGACGACTGCGCTGCGCTGGTTGCACCACCATAAAGAATGGAATTCATCTAGTCATGTATACTCTTGTACCCTAGTAAGAAAAAAAAAAAACGATTCTTTTTTCAGGATTATTTTTCCTTAAATTATTTATGCATGCGAAATGATATATGATACTTGTCACATTGTGTATAACAAATAATCTTCACGAGTTTTTATTATGAGTTTCTCCATGAAAAATACTACGGTTAGTGGTGGGCTGGTGGTGTTGAGTACCTAACATTGAGGTTACTAAACCCCTAATTAACATTGTAACATCCGATTAACCCCCTAACCGATTTCCTTAATCGACCAAGGGCTCGGGGCCTACACCGATCAAGTGGGCTCGCACG